TCTCTGGAGGCTCTGGACCCTGGGAGCCTGGCTGGGCTCAATCTAAGCAGCCTGGCCATCACTCGTTGCAATCTGAGCTCGGTGCCCTTTCAGGCACTGCACCACCTGAGCTTCCTCAGGGTCCTGGACCTATCTCAGAACCCAATCTCGGCCATCCCAGCCCGAAGGCTCAGCCCCCTGGTGCGGCTCCAAGAGCTCCGGCTGTCAGGCACCGGCCTCACCTCCATTGCTGCCCACGCCTTCCACGGCTTGACTGCCTTCCACCTCCTGGACGTGGCAGATAATGCCCTTCAGACGCTAGAGGAAACAGCTTTCCCTTCTCCAGACAAACTGGTCACCCTCAGGCTGTCTGGCAACCCCTTAACTTGTGACTGCCGCCTCCTTTGGCTGCTCCGGCTGCGCGGCCGCCTGGACTTTGGCACGTCGCCCCCGGCCTGTGCGGGCCCCCAGCATGTGCAGGGGAAGAGCTTGCAGGAGTTTTCAGACATCCTGCCTCCAGGGCACTTTACTTGCAAACCAGCCCTGATCCAAAAGTCCGGGCCTCGCTGGGTTATTGCAGAGGAGGGGGGACATGCCGTTTTCTCCTGCTCTGGAGATGGAGACCCAGCCCCCACCATCTCCTGGATGAGGCCTCAAGGGCCTTGGCTGGGAAGGGCTGGGAGAATTAGGGTCCTAGAGGATGGGACACTAGAGATCCGCTCAGTGCAGCTGCGGGACCGGGGGGCCTATGTCTGTGTGGTCAGCAACGTAGCTGGGAATGACTCCCTAAGGACCTGGCTGGAAGTAATCCACACGGAACCACCAAATGGCACTCTCCCTGACCCCAACAGCACCATGCCAGGGATCCCAGGGCCTTTCTTTCTGGACAGCAGAGGTGTGGCTATGGTGCTAGCAGTCGGCTTCCTTCCCTTCCTCACCTCAGTGACCCTCTGCTTTGGGCTGATCGCCCTCTGGAGCAAGGGAAAGGGCCGGGTCAAACACCACATGACCTTTGACTTTGTGGCACCTCGGCCCTCTGGGGATAAGAACTCTGGGGGTAACCGGGTCACTGCCAAGCTCTTCTGACCTTTCCTCCCACCCTGAGGATCCAGCCAAGTCCACTCCAGGTACCAAAGGGGAAGGCAGAAACAAAGCCACTTTGAACCTACCTTGTCCCAAGCAGCACAGATCTTTCACATCTGCCAGCATTGTGCCAGCAACCGGTGACACTGGTAGAAGGGCTGCCGCCCTGTGCTTTTCGTCTGAGGATGGCACTGTCATCTCTTCTCTGAGTGGAGAAGGGTGTTCCAGATACAGACCCTGTAGATAGCCTGGCCTTCCCTGAACCACCCCTCCAACACATATGCACAATGTGTGAACCATAACCAAGGTTCCAGTCTGCTATTCTAACCACTAGGCTTTCTTCACACACTTTAATAACCAATGCCACCTGCCAACCCCAGCTATAAGACTACTTGAGAGGTGCGGCTGGGAAGTGCCACTGCTTAATGCAATCTCTGCTCCTCACCCACACAGTTACCCTTTCTTTTCTGGCCCCCAGCCCCAGCCCAGCCCAGCCCAGCCCCAGCCTCTAGATGCAAGGAACTGGAGCCAAGGGTCCTCAGGCTAAGGAGAAGAGCGTGCATGTGTTGGGTGTGGGAGGCAGACCACACACTGGCACTGTCTGCATGAGCCTCCCTCCATCCTGTCTGACCATTAAACCTGCTGCCAAAAGGCCACCAGGGTCGCAGCCAAGACAAAACATGATCTCTGGGACTTTCTTTATCTCAGTTTACCCTCTTTTCCTCTTTCTACCTGCCCACTGATGAGTGTCTTGGTGACCTTGCCTTTGCCTAACCCAGCCCGCCAATGAAGGCAGAGGCCGATGCTGTCCACCTAGTTTAGTCTCAATTCTTTCCCTTCTACTTTCCCTCTCTGGAACTGAGGAGAGATTCCTCCACCTTCCAAGGGATGCCTACACCAAAATCCCAGCCTAGGACACCTCGCTCCTTCCCTTCCTTTACACTTCTGGTCACTCCTCTTCCACAGACACCTAGTGCCCTGGGGGGTAACCAGAAGAAGGGACCTCCTGGAAAACGACTAATAAATGCAAGAAACTGCATCTCTCGGAGGAGAGAGACCCAGCTTGGAGAGGGAAGGGAGGGTGGCCAAGCAAACTGTAGTGCAGGTGGAGGAAAGGGGTGGATTGGGTACAGTCTGCCTGGCTTCTTTCCACCGACCTCGGCAGCAACTCCAGCCCCATTGTGTTCAGCGCAGTCCCAGTGGGAAGCTGTCTCTGGACAGATGTCACCCAGATGGGGAAGAGGAATGAGCGGCAGAACTGCTGAGGGCTGCGGAGTGCGCCCCAGATAGAGGACAAAGCAGAGCTCCAAAAAGTGCAGATGCTGGGAATTGAAGGGACAGGGCAACAGCCTCAGTATCGTCAGAAGACAAGGCGTGGAAGGGAGCGGCGGGGCGGGACAGGAGGGACAGCCAAGTGGAGAATCACGCGGCGGCTCAGGAGCCTTTCTGCAGCAGATCTGCCCCATATCCTTAGTTTCCCTCCTCCTTGTGGAGTCCCCGCCCACCCCGTGCCAAACCACAGGCAGGCGTCCTGAGCTTCCAAGCTGCTGTCGATGTCCTTGCTCTGAGGAGAGCCCATTCATTACAAGAGCACCAGCTCAAATTGTCCCTGACAGGTGAAGGCAGCTGGTGCCACCGAGGAGGCAAAGCTCTTTAGTGGGGCAGAGGTGAATGTGAGAATCCAGCGGTTTGGTAAATGAGCCTGGGGAAACTGACATTCTTGAGAAATGGCCATCCCTGAGCCCACCTCCCCGCTGTGCACACAGCTCAGCATCCAGCAACCTCCCCTCTCCGTTTCTCTCTGCGATCTCCCATCCAGCAGCTTATTAGGTTGGGACCTGGGAGTTGGGCGCCAGCAGTTCTCACTCTACTTGCCCTCCCTGCAATGCAGACAAGGGCGGAAGCAGCACTGCTGGGGCCCTGGGGCAGCTAGGACAGATGAGCATCTGGCAGAGGGAGACACTGCTGCCCAAAGTCTCAGCAACACACACATGCAAGAGAAAGAAAAGTCGAGTCACGTGTGTAATTTCAAATTTACAGTGGCTCCATTAAACAAAATCAAAATGAAGCAAGCTTAGTTTTAATACTATATTTATTACCCAAACTGTTATCATGTCAATGTGTCCATATAAAAATCAGTAATGACATATTTACTATGTTTGTCATACTTGGTCTTTGACATCAATAGTATATTTTACACTTATAGGGCATCTCAATTCAGTCACTAAATTTTACCAGAAATATCTGTATTTAGATTTAATAAAATTCACCTTTGAAAAAGTAGAGTCACAAAAAAAAAGTAGATTCACACATTCAAGCTGTGCTAAACATAGTTAAAAGTTTCCAATAATTGAATCAAAGATCTGTTCTCGGGGCTGGGGATTTAGCTCAGCGGCACAGCGCCTGCCTGGCAAGCACAAGGTCGTGAGTTCGATTCCCAGTACCGGAAAAAAACAAAACAAATCAAAGATCTGTTCTCAATTTTAAATTAATTAAAATTAAATTTATATTTCTACTCCCAGTCACACTATCACATTTACACGTGTCTAACAGCCACATGAGCCCAGTGGCTACTGTACTGCACAGTACAGCTCCAGATACTATGACCCTGGGCATAGACTAGGGTCTCCCTGGTTGATGGAGTCTTCACCAAGAAACAGTCACGTCTCATGGAGATGTCTGTAGGGTTACTCTCTGCTACCACCCTTCTATGGCTTTCCCAGGACACCTTCAAAAAGTGAAGCATGTTAAAGGAACGAGGTCGCTGTGCTGAGTACTTCCAAGGGTGGTCCCACCATCAGCAAGCCAGTCCCTTACCATACCGGTCTGGGAAGGCTGTGGCGTGTGTGCCAAAGAATGTGCAAATACAACCGAGGATGTAAGTGGGTGGTGTGCTTACCGAATGGCTGTGGGGCATGCCCACACACAAGGCTATGATGGTACCACACGTACGGGACAATTCTACAGAGGCTCTGCCTGAGGTGGGGTGTGGTGACGCTGAGTGAGGAGAAAACATTTAGGAAGGCTCTTCCACGTCAAGTGGCCTTATGCATGCTTTCTTATTTAACCCTCACACGAACCCTGAAAGGCAGGAAGGCCACTGAGCTGATGGATCTCAAGGTCAAATAGATTCCACTGCTTAAGTGCATAGAACTACTTAATAAGGAAACTGCGTTTGAACTCAGCACGGTCTGACTGAACCCCCGCCCCCAGTTTCTACCCTACTGCCACACTCGCTGTTATTATCCCTCTCAAAACCTACCTGTGACAAAGATGACATCTTCCACCTGACTCATTCTGAGCTTTTTATGGAGGGCTGGGTCAGCTGTTGATCCTCAGCTTCTCTTCACCTTCCCTAATGTACCTGACTCAAGAAGTTGTTCATCTGTCCTCTTTCTTCTCCATCCCCTCTCCCAATATCCCAACTGCCTCTGCCTTAGGACAGGTGAAAAGGAGCAGAAATTCCAAGGATCTGATAGACTGATGCAAAAGGCCTGTCCCCCAGCAATAGATATCTTCTGATTTAAAATGCAGGCTACAGATTTGATAGTTCCTTTTTTGGGTCCTAAATTTAGCAACTTCCTAGGTTAGAGAAAAGCTGCTTGGGAATTTCCAGTATGGGGACAACCTGTGAGCTCTTTGCATTCACTGACTCTGCCCACTTTCTGCCTGCCCCTGTCTAGCAGAGCCTTCCTGAGGTCACCTCATCCTACCTTCCTCCACCTCTCTCCTATTTCAGTCATGGTTTCACCTAGGCCAAGAGAATTCTGGACCCAAAGTATTCTGGCATCATCCCGGCACTCCCCATGTTGCTCCCTGATGTATTCTTTCTCTAATTTCTGTTTCTTTCACTGTACTGGATACTGATGCAAGGAATGAGCATCTTGCAAAGCAATGATCTTCAACTTTGAATTGTAACTCGCCAAGAATACCTGGTACATGATTTGAAAAAAATGTTTATGTTTTGCAGTTGTCTGAAGCCCTCACGGGCTCCAAGGAACACAGGTTAAGAAGGTGCTGTGGAGGTTCTAGGTTACAGGGGCAAAGCTGAGGGCTTAGACTACAGTTTCTTGCTGGGGCCCATTAGAGACCAGGAGAAAAGGGTGGGAAGCGCTGCAGTGCAGACTAGATGTTAGCACGGTTGAAACAAGGTGCTGGGATGGGTCCCGTCCCCTTCTCCCACCAGCACCTATCTTGGGGACAAGCAGGAGACTCTGCATGGGACCCTCGCTCTGAGAAATGAGTGGGATGATGAATCAGGCTGGAGAACATCTGAGACCAACCTGGAAGACTTGGAGCCTACGGTGGTGGCTGGAGAGGTTGAGGAGAATCTCTCCTACAACACTGGACTTGATTCATCCATGTGACCTAAAGATGGAAGCAGCATAGAGTATGATCCTGCCCCCAGTTCCGGCTTCTAGTAAGGAGTCTTGATTCTTTGGGGAGCAGAGGCGATGCCTACAATGGGTAAAAGGAGAGATGAGCACGGTTTTTTAAAGATGCAGACAACTGAGAATCGCTCAAACAGTGACCACATATTGTTTGGGAAGGAACTCTATGAGTGATCAAGGCTCTGGAGCCAGAGCTTTTGTGTCTGAGAAACTCTCCCCACCTAGACCCCAGCTAAAGTCCACTCTCCTGAGAGAAACACCCACTCAATGAATGCACTGGGAAATCCAGGCCTTGCGGTAACTCATTACGTGCAGCCTGTTGAGAATACACTCCAAAGAAAGGGAATAAATGTTTAGGAGCTGGAGATGAGAACAAATCACAATTCACCCAGTCCAGCACCTTACAACTCAACCCCTCAATTGTGATTTGGGCTCTTCGAGGGGAAATAAGATGAGAAATCCCAAGTGGATGGGGAATTGAAAGTGAGTTTAGAATCATTTCACCTAAAGTTGTTCCTTCTAGCTCCCAATCTCCCTACCCAGCTAGCTAGAAGTCAACCCTAGGCCCGTGTGGTGGCACACGCCTATAATCCCAGCACTTGCAGGCTAAGGCAGGACGATAGTTGCGAGTTTGAGACCAGCCTGGGCTATGAAGTGAGTTCAAGGCCAGCCTGAACTGCACAGTGAGATCCTGTCTCAAAAAGCCAAAAAACAAAACAAAACAAAAAAAGTAATCTAAAAACATATAACTCCAATAAAAACAATAGTAACAATAGAATAGAAAAGTGAACTGTGGTATATTTTCACAATATACAGTAATAAAAATGAACATACTAAAATTATATACACTGGGGCTGGGGATTTAGCTCAGTGGCATAGCACCTGCCTGGCAAGTGCGAGGTCGTGAGTTCGATTCCCGGTACTGGAAAAAAAAATTATATACACTATGGTTGATCTCAAAATAATTTGAGCAGAAGATATGAGGCACAGAAGAGTACACCCTCATGATTCTCACTCTATGCATGAGAGGAAACTAGTTTATAGTATTAGGAGTCAGAAGAGCGGTCATCCTCAAGGAGCAGTCACTAGAAGGGACACAAGAGTGCTGGGGCATGGGCAGTGTTTGGTGTTTGTTTTTCATCTGGTGCTGGTTAAAGATGTATCACATTTTTGAAAATTTATCAATGTGTACACTTACATCTGTGCATTTCTCTGTGTATACACTGTAATTCATTTCTCAAATTGGCTTAAAGATGTGCAATTTTGGGAAATAACACAGTACTGAGTAGGTAAGTCAGTGGAACACAATGAAAAACTAAGAAACACTCAAATACATGCAACAATTTGGATATTGTAAAGATAGTATTAAAAATGGAGAAAATAAGGATTATTCAATAAGAACAGTAAGAGGGCCAGGGATATAGCTCAGTGGCACAAGCACCTGCCTGCTAAGCACAAGGTCCTGAATTTGATTCCTGGTACCATCCCAAAAAGAACAGTAGGTATAAAGCAAAGTTGGACTTTTACACCTTTATATAGTCAAGCATTTACATAAACAAAAAGGCACTACAAGTAAATTTTATTTTTTGTCTTTTTGGGACAGGGTCTCACTATGCAGTTCAGGCTAACCTTGTGCTCACTTTGTAGCCCAGGCTGGTCTCGAACTCACAACGATCCTCTTGCCTCAGCCTACCAGAGTGATGGGATTACAGGCGTGTGCCACCATGCCCCGCTTCTACAAGCAAATTTTTAAAAAAACATTGCAGGGCATAAACATCACCCTCAACCGGGTGTGGCAGCACATGCCTGTCCACCACGCCTATAATCCCAGCATTTGGGAGACTGAGGCAGGAGGATCATTGTGAGTTCAAAACTAGCCTGGGCTACAAAGTGAGCTCAAGGCCAGCCTGAACTGCACAGTGAGATCTTGTCTCAAAAAGACAAAAAAAAACAAAAAACAAAAAACAAAACATCATCCTCAACAAACTAAAAGGACACAACAAACTAGAAGGGGAAAGTATTTTTAAAGTATTAAAGATTCAAAGTATTAAAGTGCAATTCAATAACAAGCAAAAATATGAACAAAATAATAAACGTAATTTACAAAAAACACAACTGACACAAATGTTAAAAGATGCTAACCTCACTTACAATAAAAGAAAATAAAAACTGCAATGAGATACCAGTTACATGATTAGACTGTCAAAAATTAAGATGTGGTATCACACTCTACACATGCTATCCAACAGATACTTATTTTTTGTGATGGGGGAGCCTCCTGCCTCAGCTTCCCAAGTGCGGGGATTACAGGTGTGCACCACCATGCCTGGCAAAAGATGAGAGAGTAAATTATTAAAAATTCCATGGGAGACAATTTGGTGATACTGAACTTAAATCCTTTTCATACATTGGTGGTGGAATGAAAATCAGAAAAACCTTAGTGGGAGGGAATTTGCAAAAGTGTATTTATCCAAATGAAAAAACAGTACACACATTCTTTGACCTAGTGTTTTCAAGTCATATATATGTGATAGATACACATGAGCAAAACAAAGGATGCTTGCATACCAACATAATGCTAAAGGACTGGTTAAATATATCTGTGCTCACTCTTACTATGAAACTCTTACTATGATGCAGACATGCATGTGCTGCTATGAAAAGATTTCTAGGTTATACAAAAAGAAATTGCAAAATAGGATGTATAATATGCAATAGCATAGTTAATAAACTGGGTGAAATATATATATATGTATGTTAACTATGGAGTATCTTATGAAAAAATTCACAAGAAGCAGTTGGCACTAGTAGCTTGTCAAGGGAAGGAGTTTCTGTAATAACCTCTTATTCCTTTTTTTGTCTTTTCTCCCGGTACCAGGAATCGAACTCACGATCTTGCGCTTGCCAGGCAGGTGCTTTGCCGCTGAGCTAAATCCCCAGCCCCCTCTTATTCCTTTTGAATCACCTAGAATATGCATGTGTTACTTATTCAAAGCACGTACGTATTTTTAAATTGGTGGAAGTCAGGCGTGCCTATAGACTCAGCTACTGGCGAGGCTGAGGCAGGAGGATGGCTTGAACCCAGGAGTTTGAGGCCAGCTTGGGCACCACAGCAAGAACCTTTCACTTAACTGAAAAAGGAAAAGAAAAAAATGAGCTCAACGGCATCTCCCTAACTGACCAAGGGTACAATCATACAATCTTGCGTTTATTCAACAAAGGTTTCCTTGGGTGTTCGTTATGTGCCAGGCGTTTCCCTAAGGGCGCGGGGGGCCGGGGGGAGGCGGGGGGCCAACCGTCCCCAACGGCCTGGGCGTCCGCACTCGCGTAGGGCCCACACAGCGCGGCCTCGCTCCCGGCCGGCGCCTCCCCGCCGCCTTCCCTCTGCCTACGAAGCCCATTCCACGCTTTCAATAAACAAGTAAATAAAGTGTGTCCAGCCCCTCGTGCGCTTCTAACACGACTTGGGGAACCGATCGCGTCAACAAAAAAATCGTAAGAGAAACAAGTCGGAGAGCTGTTCCGCCCACCGTCCCTGGGCTGTGGGGTGGAACCGTCTTTGAACGATCTCGCGCCATCGGGGACACGCGCGACAGTCTCGACCCCCTCGCACCTGTGGGTTAGGAGGCGGGCGCTCCCCCACGATAAGCTTAGAGGGGAACCGAGAAGGCTGGGCGAAGGCTCCAGTTGGATGTTTAATTCTCAGCAGGTGCAAACTCAATGCGCAACATCTGCTTTCCCTGGATCTTATTGGCTCGCGGGGTGGGCGGGCTTTGGAGTTCATACTGGTCATTGGACAACAGAGCTGCGCAGTGACGTCACTCACAGCAACTCCAGGAAGGATTGGTTGCAGCGGGCACAGGCTTCTGGACTGACGAAGAGCGCAGGGCTGATTGGTGCGGGGGCGGCGAAGCCGGGGGCTGAAGCGCGGCCCGCGGGCTGAGTCGCGGGACCGGAGGGAGGAGGCGGCGGCCGGGCCGAGGTGCGAGGCGGGGCGCGCGAAGACTGACGCCGAGGAGCGGTACGGGAGGGAGCGAGTGCGAGGCAGTTCGGGGCCCGGGGCAGCCCCCGACCGGGGGGCAGAAGGCGGGTGGAAGGAGGGGAGGCGGGCGGGCTGCGGCGGGCCCGTGAGCGTGAGTTCGCCCCGTCGGAGCTGCTCCCGAGGCCGGGCAGCGCGGGCTGCGGCCTCGCGATCTGCCGTGCGGCGCGGGCGGGCCTCGGGCGGCGTTCCCCGCGGCGTCGTGGACGGCGGCGGGGCTGCTCGCCGCTCCCCGCCGCCTGGCTGGCCCTGCCGGCGTGGGGCTTGTTCGAGCTGGTTTCCCCGAGGCATCGGCCGATCACACAGAGCACATTTGTGACAAGGGGGTGATGAGAGTCAGCTTGGTGCAAATAGAAGTCACCCGGCGGGCTGGTCCCTCCTGGCCGTCCTCGGCGCGCACACCCGACACACTCCCGACAGTTGCGTCTGCCCCTACTCCGCCCGGAAACCCGGTCCGACACCCCGTGGCTCTGCGCTCTGCCTGCCCGAAAGCCCTTCGCCGGGTCGCCGGGCGCGCTCCCCGACCCCAACACCAGGGCGGGCCTCCAACCGAGCCCTACCGCTGCTCTCCAGCGGTCATCAGGAACTGTACACACTGGGCGTGTGTGATAGGGGATACGGGGGACGTGTAGGAGGTTACGATTGAGCGAACAGAGCCAGAAAACTAGCAGGAGCCTTCATTGGCCTTAAGTGTGATCCTGTGCCTGGCGTGGTGGCGCACGCCTGTAATCCCAGCACTCCGGAGGCTGAGGCAGGAGGATCGTTGCGCGTTCGAGACCAGCCTGAGCTGCATATGGAGACCCTGTCTCAAAAAGACCAAAAAAAAAAAAAAAAAAGTCTGGTCGTTTGTGGGAAACCATTTGTGCTTTTGGACTTGGTGAAGAGGTTTAATCATGTTGCACCTCAAAACAGAATCATGAGTTCGATTCCCTGTACTGGAAACACACACACACACACACACACACACACACACACACACACACAAAATAAAATTTAAAAAAAAAAACAAAAAAGACAATTACTGAGCTGGGGATGCAGCTCAGTGTCATAAGCACCCACCTGGGAAGTGCAAGGTCCTGAGTTCGATTCCCAGTACAAAAAAAGGAATTATTTTCTTTCACACACTGTATTGTGTAGAAATTACTAACCAGCTCTGTGACCTTAGGGAGATCTGTTAGTATCTCTGAGCTCAGTTTTCCCACACTGTAACATTAATGGAACAAAGTAATCTCAGTGGTCCCTCCTAGTTCTAAAACTGCTACTTTTATGCCCTGTAATAGTGATGGCGAACCCTTTAGAGCCTGCTGTGGCCCGCATGCAATAGGTTCACCCCACTGCCCTATAAGCATAAAGTATGGCCAGAGAGATGGCATTAAAGGCAGAAAGCATTAAAGAACAGGGATAGATTTATTTTGGTTTCCCAAGCCCTTTCACGCAGAGAGCTCCTGACAAGACATTCCCTGCTGGACAAGAAGCTCTATGAAGGCAACTCAGTCGTGATTGCTGTGTCCCCCCAAGCTGAACTCACGTGGGATATTCAGTTTTTATTTTTTGGTTTCTGAGACAGGGTTTCACTATGCAGTTCAGGCTGACCTTGACATTTTGTAGCCCAGGCCAGCCTCAAATTCACTGAGACCCTGATGCTTCAGCCTCCCCAGTGGTGGAATTACAGGTATATGCCATCACATCTGGCACTGTTTTTATTTTTTTTTTATTATTGGTTTGAATAAACTGGCAGCAGATAACTGAGTTGTATTTTAATGAAATGGTCTTCAGCTGTGCCCCATCTAAGAGCCGTTTTAAGTTCTAGTTCCTCAGCACTATTGCCTTGATGAAGAATTTATATTGCTTTTCTATTGCCATGTAGTTAGTTGTTTTGAGATTTATCACTTCTTTTAGACTTATAGTGTCTCAAAGCAACAACTCTTGAGCTGGGCGTGGTGGTACACACCTGTAATCCCAGCACTCCTCAGGAGACAGAGGTAGGAGGATCTTTGCAGTCTGACAAAGATCCTCCTGCCTCAGCCTCCCTAGGATTGATTATAGGCAAGGATTGATTATAGTCGTGCGCCACCAGGCCCGGCTGGATTCTTTCTTCTTTGGCCTTCTCCACCCCCACCACCAGCATGCTCAGCCCATAACAAAGAGCATTGTTTAACTGAGACAGGTTAATCATGGAGACAAGATTTCCACTTAAAAAAAAAATAAGATTGGCATTTCAGAGGCCATGTAAACAATAAATGAAGTAACCAAGAAATAAGTCTTTTCTGGACATCCAGAATTAATTCTTTTTTAGTGTAGAAAAGTTTACTATTTCCTAATGTAGCAATTTGGAAGTTACGCATTCTAAAAAAAAATTTTTTTCCCCGTCTTCTTGAGACAGGGTCTTGCTTTGCAGTTCAGACTGGCCTTGAGCTCACTTGTAGCCCAGGCTGGTCTTGAACTCACAATAGTCCTCCACCCTCAGCCTCCTGAGTGCTGGGGTTACAAGTGTGCTCCACTATGCCTGGCTTCAAAAATTATTTAAGAAAGAAAAGTCCTGTATAAAATTGCACTTGTTTCCTTTTCTTGGGTTATGTAAAAGTGTTTCCTTGATATCCACAAGAAGAAGAGTTTTATTTGCAGGCTGCTTTTGTTTTTGTTTTGAGGGGGTGGAGGAGCTGTTTGAGATAGATTCTCCCTAGGTAGTTCAGGCGGGCCTTGAACTCAGTGTGACCCTCCTGCCGCTGCCTCCTGAGTGCTGGGATTACAGGCATGCACAACTATGCCCAGTTTTGCAAGCTGTTTTTAAAAAGAAAGTAGCTGAGAGGCTGGGGATTTAGCTCAGTGGCAAAGCGCCTGCCTGGCAAGCGTAAGGTCGTGAGTTCAGTTCCCGGTACCGGAGAAAAACCAAAAAAAAAAAAAAAAAGAAAGAAAGTAGCTGAGGTTTTTTTGTTTTGTTTTGATACAGGGTCTTGCTTTGTAGTTCAGGCTGGCCTTATAGTCTAGGTTGTAGTCTATAGTCTGGTTGTAGTCTAGGCTGGTCTTGAATACATGGCGATCTTCCTACCTCAACCTCCCGAGTGCTGGGAATAACAGGCGTGTGCCACCACACCTGGCTGTGGCTGACTTTTACCAAATGATTTTTGGGATTGGACCTCATAAATGAAAACAAATAGTCCACATTAAACTCTACCTTCTCTCCTAGGGGAAAGAAGGATGCTCAGTCTCTAAAAGTAATATACTATGTATACTGAGTAACTAACGGTCCCAAATAAGACACTTGAAAAGAGCCCACCAAGGTAATAAAAGGTATTTTGCTTAGTTGTTTTCTTTATGTCTTTTTTTTTTTCAGGCTATGAATCTGGGTGACAGGCTAAATTTTTGAAAACTATTGGCTAGATAACATAGATTTGGCGAAGTTCTGATAGTTCTCTGAAAAGTGCTATTCCATTCCGCTGGTCCATTAAGCTCCTTCTAAAGCTCTCTCTGAGGCCAAATGCAGTGGGTGTGGTGCTGGGGCTAGAACCCTAAGTCTGTGTCTAGCAGGAGCTCCACCAGGAGGCCAGGTGCTAATTCTGGTCCCCTGTGTGAGGAGCTATAAGTGATCCACCCCTAGACTCCTTCCCTGCCTGTATCTGCTCCTGGGTGAGATTTCCACACTGGTTTCTACAAAGTCTATTCCAGAGTAGGCTCTGTATTATGAGTATGTTTTTAGCCTTACTGGGACAAAACTAGTTTTTTAAGGTGGACAATTTTGATTATATATTATTATTAGGGCTGATTTTGGGGGGAGGCAAATGGTATCATAAATTACATTTAATCTTTAATCTCCTTAAAAGCCACTTTTAAAATTTTTTATTGATACATGTTGGGACTGTGAACAATTGTTTTATTTTTTTCACGTTTTGTTTTGTTGTTCTAGATTGTAATATCTGGAAATAGGCACTATCTTTTATTTTTATCATCACAAGGTTTTCTACCAGTGTTTGTTTTGAATTAAATAGATCAAAATAAAGAATAAAAGCACCACGTACTTCTATTCTGAGAATTTACGTAAAGGGAAGCGGGGAGTCTAAAATCACTTTAACAAGCTGGGCGTGGTGGCACATGCCTGTAATCCCAGCAATTGGGAGGTTGAGGCAGGAGGATCACTGAGTTCCAGACCAGTCTGGGCTGCATTGTGAGCTCAAGGCCAGCCTGAGGCCCTGTCTCAAAAAAAGAAAAACAAAATAAAAAAATCACTTCAACAGATTTTTCATAGGCAAATAATAACCCAGACTCTGAGAGGTTAGGTGAGCTCTTCAATCGCAAGTAATTCCCCTGTAAGAAGGAGTCATAGTTTCTGCCTTATAGGGTTGTTTGAGCATTGAATAAAACATGCACTGTAATGTGCTAACGTAGTAGATGCTCAACACATTTGTCCTTTTATCTTTGTGTCCTTGGTGCCACAGTAGCACCTGGCACTGAGAAGTGCTTAATGAATGTGGAGAGACTACATGGAAGAAGCCACTGTCTTGTGTAGAGGACACAGTACTAAGAGATACTAGCCACAGGGTGAGCAGGTGGCATCACACAGTGTCATCGCAGAGCAGGATAAGCTAAGGAGAAGTGGCCCCAGAGTCAGCTAGTGCTGGAAATCCCAGAGCCTCAGAAGAAGAGGTGGTGTTGAAGATGAAATCTGAAGAAGGAATAGAATTTCGTCAGGAACTAGGAATACAGAAGTAATATGTCAGTGTGTCCCAGAAGCACACCTGGAGAGGTGGGATGAGAATACTCAGCTATGGAGATGGCAGGCTAAGATGGGATTTCAAAGAATCTTTTTTACCATTATGGAGTTTACATTTAGGCAACAACCAGCCATTGAAGACGTGAGGAAGTTTATTCATTTAGCAAATTTTTTTTGTTTTGTTTTTTGGTCTATTTGAGACAAGGACTCTCTATGCCGTTCAGGCTGGCCTTGAGCTCACTTTGCAGCCCAGGCTGGTCTCGAACTCAGAGTGATCCTCCTGCCTCAGCCTCCCGAGTGAGCAGATTATTATTGAACAAATATTTGTAGGCTAAGTATGGGAGGGACAGAAAATAATTGCTGCCTTTGTAGAGTTTATGTTCTAAGGGGGAGATGAACACTTCGAAGGTTGTTATAATGACTCTGGCTTTTCAGCAGTGCTGTAGGAAACCACTGGAAGCTGTTGTGTTGGGAATAAAGTGAATGAAGGGTGGCTAATGAGGGATGTAACTAAGTAATTAATCGAAGCTAAAGATGATGGTGTGGTGTTTTGTTTTTTGTCTTTTTTGAGACAGGGTCTCGCTATGCAGTTCAGGCCCACCTTGAGCTCACTTTGTAGCCCAAGGTGGCCTCAAACTTGCAGTGATTCCCTTGCCTCAGCCTCTCGAGTGCTGGGATCATAAGCGTGTGCCTCCATACCTGGCTTTAGATAATGGTGTTTTAAAGCAGAGTCATAGCAATGGAGGAAAAAGTGGTCAGATTTTGGATAATTTGAAGGTAGAATGAATAAGTTGTTGACAGACTGGATATGTCAGTTTGCAAGAAAGGATGACTAAGATTTTTAGCCTAATGAACTAAGAAATGGTGTTGCTATTTACTGAGATGTAGAAGTGAGTGGATCAGGAACTTAGAGTTACACCTGTTCGTTTTGGAAGTGAGTGGATCAGGAGCTTAGAGTTACACCTGTTCGTTTTGCGATGCCTCCTTGACCGAAGGTGGTGCCATGTGGGCAGTTGGATGTACAAGCCTGGAGTTCTGGAGAAAGGGCCTACCAGTCGATGAAGTTGACTCATCAGCATATAGATGGGATTTAAAGTCACACCAGAAATGAGACTTGATGAGATGATCCAGAAAGTGAGAGAAGACAACAAAGGATGGATCCCCTGGGTACTACCTTGTTGAGAGGTTTAAAAAAAATGAGAATTCAGGGTGGTGGCACATACCTGTAATCCCGGCACTGTGGCAAGCTCCACTACTGTCTTGGTTACTTTTCTCTCATTGCTGGGACAAAATATCTGACGCCCAAAATTTAGGAAGGAAAGGTTTATTTAGCTCACAGTTTGTGGAGGTTTCAGTCCGTACTTGGCAGATTACAAGGCAGAGTGGCACACGGCAGAGGGCTACAGTTCATGGCAGCAGAACACAGCCAAAGCAACAAGCACAAAAGGGAGGAATGGCTGCAAGCAGCCTCTTCTGCTCCCTTACATATGCAAACTATCCACCCCAGGGCGGGGGTAGCTCTCACACCCATAATCAGTCAAACTCTAAAAGCCTGCCCCATGACTGCATGAGGCTCTGGGGGGACACACAGACACAAACCATAACAATTACCAAAAACAAAAAAGAAAACAAAAAGTCTTCTGGCCAGAACCACTGTCCTGCAATATATCAGCACAGTGGTGAACGCAAAGGGAAAGGGGAGAGGAGCCCAAAATATGTTCTCTGTGCCTTTTAGAAAGCATGCATTTGTTCTTTTGGCCACATATATACAGAGCTACAAAAGGATGGTATTGTAGATATCAAGGGAGTAACAGATGTTCTGGTGGCAGAACTGGAAGAGCATGCAGTGTTAGCCAGTGTGCTCCTGGCGTTGTTGTGAACAAGGGCAGACTTCTTGTTGAGGGAGTTAATAAACATATTGAGCATATTAAGCACTCTTTAAGAACCAAGGTTGCTTCCTAAAATGGATGAGAAAAGTGATCAGAAAAAGAAGGAAGCCAAAGAGAAAGCTTCCTGTTATTTTTTATTCAAGGTGCACATGTGAGAGCCAGTGTTGTGGGCAAGAAAAAGAATTCACCAACAGCCGAGGAGTATAGAAAAGTAAAGAGTTTACTGTTACACTGCAAGGGAGCAGCGGGTGAACTCTGAGAGGAATGCACAGCCAGGAAGCAGGCACCTTTCTATTTGAATTAATGGGAGAGGAGGAGGATAGGGACACGATCTCAGGAATGGTTCCACCAGGTCCTACTTTATTATTTATTCATCTACCTCAGTTCTGAGGAGAGCCAAATGTTGTTTGAAGACTGATGTCTTCTTGGGGTAGGGTTTAGTGTTCTTGGCATTGATAGAGAAAAAAAATAAAAGTTCTGAGTAGGGTTAGCAAATTTGTAAAGCTAATTGGGATTCATGGTCAAGGATGTCAGAAAAATGTATATTTGTGACAAAAGGGGACCTCTCATATTCCACAGGGACGGGAGGAAAGGGTATTCTCTATGACACGTCCGGTAGTTAGGACACCTAGTGATGTAGTGGCTGCAGTTTGGCCTTAAAGAAAAAATGGTGGGTCAGGGATATAGCTCAGCGGCGCAAGCACATGCCTGGCAAGCACAAGGTCCTGAGTTTGATTCCCAGTACCAAAAAAACGTAAAAGTGCTAAAATAACCGTGATTCTGCACACCTGTACCAGCTGACGTGCCAGGCTGCGCCACCCAGAGCAGCATACATTGGGAAGGAGCCTGAGCTTCTGGAGCCTCTTCCCTGTGACGTAGCTCTGCCCTTCAGCACCTGACTAGCAGCCAACGCGCTCTAGGCAGTGGGTTCCGTACACACTACTGCTTAAAAGTGAAAAAGTGCCCTTGGAATTGTAAGAATGTAGGAAGTATAGGAATAAATTTATTAATTTTATTAATAATTTTATTAAGCAACAGGTGGATTCTCAGTTGGAAATCAGCCAGATGTTTATGAAATATTTATACTGGCTTGAAGATAGTTCTCTCAGTCATCATGGAAAACGATGCACAAAAATAAATGGGAGGTAATCTTTTGCATTACGGTTAAGCTCAAGAAAAGCTAATTCCTGTAAACATAGTATAAATAGCTTAAATTTTATGGACCAGGAGTTTGCCTTTGAAGCACCCTGTGTGAAAATGAAGGTTTAAACCAAAAGAGAGAGAGGAACCAGCAGCTGAGACTGACAGCTGAGCCAGACAGCGGGGTGCAAGTCCGGTTTTCGAGAGACCACGTGAAGAGGGCGTGCTAGAGAAGAGGACATCACAAGCTTTCAGATACTGGGCGAAGCTGTGTAAGATGAGCACTGAGACGTGATCTTCGGATTTAGTGATGCAGTCACTGGTGCCTTTGACAAGCGCCCTCAGAACAGACTAAAGAAGAGAGGTTGAGGACAGAAGTGTCAGCACTATCTTAAGTCTTCGGGTAAAAGGAAAGAAATAGGAAGTAGTGGGAAGAATAAGTGTAATCAAGGTAGAGTTTCTTTAGGAGAGGAGGATGTTCGCTAATGGACCAATTAACAGGAGAGCATTAACAATGCCGGAGAAGGGCGGAGAACTGATGGAGCAACCCTATTATGAAAGTCTTTGGCCCTAGGAATAAAACACAAATCATCCATGGTCACAGGAGAGGGTGCTTACAAACAAATGGAGACTGGCGGCAAATGTGTGAAGCTTGTGGATATCTTCTCTGAAGGCTCTGCCTTCTCAGTGAAATAGGAAGCAAGGGCGTTATTTGAAAGAATAGAGGAGATAGCACTAGAGTTTTGGAAAGAGAAAGTGTGGAGTCGCTGGTAAGGAATCAGTGAGGAAAATGTCAAGACTGCCTTGGCAGCAAAGTGCAGGTACACTATCAGAGATTAATGCACAAAGACAGTAAGAAGGCCCTTGTAACGGTGTAAAAGAGATCGGATGTGCTTCTGAATCAGCCCGAGTGCTGTGCTCTTGGTGTCATTAGTATATAGGTAGTAATTGAAACTGCAGGTGTGGATGAAATTGCCTGTGGAGCAGAATCAATTAGCAGTGGAGAGAAGGCACAGAAAGACAAGCCCCAGGCTCGGAAGGATCTGCCAGGGAAATAGGGAAAACCAAGACAAAGAGGACACAGAAGCCGAAAAAAGATTTTTCTGTGGAGGGAGTGACTGCCTTACTACTGCTGCAGGGGTAAGATAAGGCCTCCTGCATGTCCTGCACGTTGACTATCTGGGAAGTTAATGCTGGTCAAAGAGCAGAGCATCACTTCCTTTCACTGTTGGTTGAGGAATAAATAGAAACTAGAAACAATAACAGTAAATGAAGACTGTGCTTCCAGGAAGAGTAAGCAGGAAGGCCTTTAGTGGGCTGGAATGGCTCTCCTTGCAGAGAGAACAGCTTCTGAGGAGCTCCAGAGGCATAGGGAAGAAATTCAAATAAAATCTAAGTACATATGCTTCTTAAATATTTGATTTGTTTGGTAATTTGATCCTTCATCTTTCAAAACTGATCCATGGAGGGGTGGAAGGGAAAAGAAATATATGAGGGGAAAAAAAGGATAAAATGGAAACAAAGCTTTGTGAATAAGGAGGGAAAGGAGTTGAAGAGAGGGAAGGAGAATGGGGGGAAAAAAGAGGAACTAAGGTATATCATGTACAGGTACAAATTCCCTAAGATGCATATGATCATTATGCATATCTAATTTGTACCAGTAAACTTAATTATAAAAAATAAATGCTGGGAGTGCAGGCTCACGCCTGTAACTGTAATCCCAGCACTCGGGAGGCTGAGACAGGAGGATCGACACAAATTGGAGACCAGCCTGGGTTACTAAGTGAGTTTAAGGCCAGCCTGAACTGTATAGCAAGACCCTGTCTCAAAAAGACTAAATAAATAAACAAAACTGATCCATGTATGATTCTCTTTAGGGGGAAAAAAAAATGAAGTATCCTTCTGTTCAGTTGTATGTATCCCTAGGCTAACTTTTTGAAAATACCCAGAGACCTTTTCCATGAAAGCTCTTAAAATGGGAAAATGTGCAGCAGTATTCTCTTCATTAACAATGTGTTCTCGTTCTTCTCCGCCAGCCAGAGGGGTATTAGCTGAAAGCTCCTGCTTTTTCTTGATTTTTTTTCAGGATGTAAAAGTACAACAGAAAATGTCTACTGAGCGGACTTCTTGGACAAGCCTGTCCACTATTCAGAAAGTAGCCCTGGGCCTCGGGATCCCAGCCAGTGCAGCAGTTGCCTATATCCTGTACCGAAGGTATAGGGAAAGCAGAGGTATGTGAACCCCACAGCTGCAACTGCATAAATACTCACATATCTATGTTCCTGCCTTGGTAAATAAAGATGAAAACTTTTTTCTTGTCAGAATGGCTTTCTGTGAGGAATATTTGACTGAAAATATTTGATTTTTTCTTTTGCATGTTCTTACTGTGAAGCTGGTCTATGAAATGCATTCATAACTCCTTTGGTCTGTTCCCTTTAGCAAAATAAATGGGGAAATATTTTAAAATATATACCCGTATGTATATGTTCCTTATCTCTGCCTGGTTGTTAGGGAAAGGTGGTTCCTACCCATGGTAGACCTAGAGAATGGGACCTAGAAAAATAGGTAAGGTACAGAGGAGTCAGGAGAAATTTTATGCCTAATGGACACCTCAGGCAGCTTCAGGCTTTTGGTCTTAGTTTACCTAAAACTTCTTTGCGGGGTCTGCTTTTCCTATTTTAGCATCTGAAATAGTATCCCTGAGAAAATGCCAGCTTGTGGATAAGGGGACAAGCGGGTGCAGGAGCATCATGCATGCCAAGCCCCAGGCCTATGTCTGGACTCTTGGGACATAATTGCCACTCAGCTGCTGCTTCTCCCTGTCGTGATGATTGAAATCCACAGTTTATCCTTGGGTTAGTGTCTCTCTGGTAGCCAGATTCAGGGAAGGGGGGTAGTAGCTTTGGGTGTAGTTAAGTCTGACCTTCTCTGCAGAAGAGCGGCTGACATTTGTTGGGGAGGATGACATTGAGATAGAGATGCGAGTTCCCCGGGAGGCTGTGAAGCTTATCATCGGCCGGCAAGGAGCCAACATTAAACAGGTGAGTTGTGTGAGCAAGCCGGATGCCTTCCCCAGACACTGATTCTGTGTCTTGATTTTTTTCCTTCCTCAGACCTGTAGCAGAAACCATTCCCATGCTGTATATATTTTAGAAAGAAAAATGGCTGAGGAGGTAACTCGGTGGTGAAGTGTTTGCCTGGCGTACTCCAGCCCTGGGCTCATACCCATTAACACACACGTGCACACACAGAAAACCAGAAACTTTTTTTAAGCTAACTATCTTATTTCCCTTCCAGAGATGAACACTTCTCCCTACAGCATGAATGTTTGAAACAGGAGTGCTTCATAGGATGAGTCAGGTTGTGATAGCTTAGTCTTTTCTATTTTGAAATCAGTGGGCTCTCATTAATTGACAGTAAATGTAGAATTGCTGCCTAGTTTTTCTTAACCATCTTCTATTATTCAGCCAAAATATCAAGAAAACAAAATCAGTGTTTCTCTAATCCAGATAACATTAGATGGGGAAAGGGTTGTAGATTCAAAGAGAAATGGTTTTGAATTGACTGCTATTTGAGGTTGCCTTTGTCACTAATCTCCTTTTAAGTAGAGGTAAATAAATGAGGACTGATTATGCATGCGGACTTAGCTGATGCTTTTGGTTGACTTTGTCAACCTCCAGGGTTTTGCTTAGACTCCCCTTTACCTTGCCCAGGTGGGAGCTCTTCCAGAATGTACCGCCATATCTCTTTTTCTCGGCAGCTGCGGAAACAGACAGGTGCTCGGATTGATGTGGACACAGAGGATGTAGGAGATGAGCGAGTGCTACTTATCAGTGGTTTTCCTGTTCAGGTGTGCAAAGCCAAAGCAGCAATCCATCAGATCCTGACAGAGAATACCCCGGTGTCTGAGCAGTTCTCAGTGCCCCAGAGATCTGTGGGCAGAATCATAGGTACCACTGGATGGCTTCCTCTGCTGTTTCCTTTAGTCTTGTCTTTTTTTTTTTTTGGGGGGGGGGTCTTTTTAATACAGGGTTTCACTATGCAGTTCAGGCTGGTCTCAAACTCACTTTGTAGCCCAGGCTGGCTTCAAACTTGAAGCAATTCTCCTGCCTCAGCCTCCCAAGTGCTGGGATTAGAGGTGTGCACCACCACACCTGGCTTTGTTCCCTTTATTCTTTACCTTTGCCTTTTTTTCATACCTTCCCAAGGGTTTTCCTGGCCTACTCCCAGGAAAAATGTCGAATATTGAGATCAGAACTTTACTTTCTCTCAGAACTGATGGTAAAACAGAAGCTATTGCCTCAAAAAATTGTATGATCTGAGGTGGGTGTGGTGGCACATGCCTTTGGTCGTAGCACTGAGGGAGGCTGAGGCAGGAAGACTTCAAGTTTGAGTCCCACATGGACAACTTAGTAAGACCCTGTCTCAAAAAAAAGAAAAAGCGAGGGGCTGGGGGTACAGAGTTCGCTGAGTTTGATCTCCAGTACCAGAAAGGGAGAAAGACTACTTGAATAGTCAGTCTTACATATAGGTTCCAGAAGTGTTCCGGTAAATGTATTCACCTCATAACAGATTTTTCTAGGTAAACTAGCAGTGTTCATGCTAGCCCAGGTCATTTGAGACAATGCTGTAGAGAGCCTTTGTTATGCTTTCTGAATCAGGATCATTCCTTAATGCTGCTGTGAGAGGCAGAGGAGTATCCTGTCCTCTGTTCAGGGTTTTGATATGCTGTGTATACTGTGTCTTCTTAGGAGCTGGGAATATAAATTGTTGCCTTGCTGAGCAGCCAAAATATGGAAATGAGGTGAAGTTAACCTAGCCAGAATGAATAGTTCAAATAGTACGGATAAGCCTAGGACCATATTCTTTAGTAGTTCTAGGTTTCCACTCATCACCTTATGTTCTATTCAGTTTGGAAGTGAAAACTTACTTCCTCCTCCTAGTACATACAAAATACTGATTTCTCCAGTAGTTAAAGTTGGGAAGGACAGGTTTTTATGTACTGTTCGATGTAGGGAGAGGCGGCGAGACAATTCGTTCTATCTGTAAGGCCTCTGGAGCCAAAATTACCTGTGACAAAGAATCAGAGGGGACATTACTACTATCAAGACTTATCAAAATCTCAGGAACACAGAAGGAAGTGGCAGCAGCCAAGGCAAGTAATGTACAGACTTGACTCTTGCCTAAGAGTGAGAAGAGTCCTGTCCTCCATCCTGGGTCAGTATCTGGCTGCATAGATATTGTCCCTTCTCCTACCTTCCACAGCATTTGATACTGGAGAAAGTGTCAGAAGATGAAGAACTTCGGAAGAGAATCTCCCATTCTGCAGAAGCCAGAGTCCCACGCAAGCAGCCGATCAGCGTGAGAAGAGAGGAAACAACAGAGTCAGGTGGCGCTGGGGAGCCTGCTTCGTGGAAAAACGCCAGCTCTGACAGCAGGCAGGCTGCACCCCTAGCAGCTCCTCCCCACAGAGGAGATGGAGACCCGGCTGTTGTAGGACCCAAAGAAGGTTCCTGGGAGGAACCTAGCAACAGCTTTGAGAAGACTGGAGTGCAGACCAGTCCAGAGAAGCCCATTTTTGAAAGTATGTAACAAGGAGGGGACGTATTAGCCATGTGAAAGACAGGAGTCCTGGTTTAACTGACCCCAAATAGGAAGCAATAAAACATTCTATTTTTATGATTGCCCGTATGTTATAGTAATACCATTCTGGTCAATTTTACTTAGTTTAGTACTAAACATTAATAATATTTTTCTGAATATAAGCCAGCTAATGGCAAAGGAAAATAAGATAGAAATATGCCAACATAAGAAACTAGTCTGTGAGTAATACATCAAATAATTGAATTTATGTTTTATTCCTCCGTAGACATTTGTTAAATAAATTCTCAATCTGATTTTTTCTTTTGCCTGACTCATTACTGTTTTTTTTTAAAAAAAATCACTATTCAAGAAGAATGGAAAGGCCTTGAGCTTTCTCCTGTGTGCAGGGGTGCTGGCGTGGGCAGGGGAGACCAGGGACCCAAGCAGGACCAGGGCCTGTCCAGGATCCATGATGAATCCGTGGTAGAATGGGATCTGGGACAAGCAGAGTTGCTGTCCATGTGCCTTTTAATGATCATGCTGCAGCTAGCAGATGGAGGATTTGCCTTCATTATAATTGGTGAGTGGTTGGGATACCGTGGAACATGGCAGAAGACTATGAAGTGTGACATTAGTGGTTAGTTACATCAGATACAGACAATAACTTAGTATGTTTCTTAAGGGTCTCCTCATGTGATTCATCCAGGTGTCCTCTAGCCAATTTTATTTTATTTTATTTCATTTTATTTTATTTATTTATTTTTTGGTACCGGGAATCGAACTCAGGACCTTGCACTTGCCAGGCAGGCGCTGTGTGACTGAGCTGCATCCCCAGCCCCACTCCAGCCAGTTTTAAAATGGTTAAAGCCACTCAGTATTTGTACCTCTCATTCCCCATTCAAGCTCCCCCCCATTCCTACCAGAGATGGTTCTGATCTGGCCACCACCCTTATCCCTATGTTCAGTCCCCAGTCCTGACTTCAGTTTCCATGCTGATGAGTACCTAGAAGTCTACGTGTCTGCATCTGAACACCCTAACCACTTCTGGATCCAAATCATTGGCTCCCGCAGCCTGCAGTTGGATAAGCTTGTCAGTGAGATGACCCAGCACTATGAGAAGAGTCTGGTAAGTTGTCATGGGTTTGATAGAATGGAACTTATCATCTTCATTCTAATACATTCTTTTCCTGTAAGACAACTATTTGTTCACTCTTCCTTCTGGTCTGCCCCGTTTTTTATTAGCTGCCTCTTCTAACTCTGCCCCTCCTGACCCCTCCCCATGTACAGCCTGAAGACTTGACTGTGCAGGTAGGAGACATTGTAGCAGCACCCTTATCTGCAAATGGTTCCTGGTATCGAGCTCGGATCCTTGGCACCTTGGAGAATGGGAACTTGGACCTCTATTTTGTTGACTTTGGAGATAATGGAGATTGCCCACTGAGGGACCTCAGGGCCCTCAGGTCAGTGCACAGGCCTGGGTGGTGTTGGCTGGGCTCCTAGCTGTCGTCTCACCTCTGGTCACAGAGTGGTGAGCTGTTAGGACTTAATACTCATCACCAGGGGCATCTGGGAATGGGGAGGGGAACCTGCTTAAAGAGTGCAGATGATTTTCTTCTTGTGCTGGCTTAGTTAGTTCTGTCTAAAAGCAAGGAATCCAAGAAAGCCCTCCTGGCCACAGGACTCTAATTACAGTTTCTTTCACTGTAGGAGTGACTTCCTAAGCCTTCCATTTCAAGCAATAGAATGTAGTCTGGCACGGATCGCGCCCTCAGGTAAAGCAATTGTCCCACCCACTGACCTTGCCTTCAGATAGAAGAACTTCCATATGCCACGTGGGAGGAGCTAACACATTCTCATGCTTTTCGAGTTCTAGAGGTTCAGGTGCCTTTTTCTTAACAGCGCTAGAAAGCATCAGGTAGAAACTTGCCCCAGAGTCAGAACCCAGCCCAGCAGAGCATGACATAAGTGCCTTCCTGCATACACAGGGGTAGTTACCCTTTTTTTTTTAAGAGCAGAATATATTTTTTGAGGGAAAGAAAGCTTCTGTCCAAGAGAGGGACAGATGGGGGGCCAAGTGGCCCCAGACTCTGTCTTTTCTAGGGACTTTTATAGAGCAAAACCACAAGGTCAGGTGGGTCCAAGGTAGGGTAAAATGGACAAAACTATGGTCAGCTAATAAGAATTGTTCAGGTAAAATTGATTAAATCAGGATCAAATGGGGAAGCCAGTCACATAGCAAGCGGGCATGAATACAGAACAGGGGCTTTTCCTGTAGGGGGTTGGGTCAGGGACTGTTCAAGGTGATTGCTACCTATTTAGAATGTCAGTCCCTGATGTTTACACCTAGGGAGGTATGTGGGTGTATTTGTTCAGTCTGGCCCACAGCAAATACGTATCTTACCTTGTGTCCTTTGAGGGCTGGCCCTGTCTGACTGCCTATAATATTTCTATCTAACTCAACTGCCTATAACATTCTCTCCTCTGAATAAGTAACCCGAACTGCCGTGAGGGAGTAACGGGCGATGACCGCTCTGGCTTCTTCAGGCTGAAAGGGCTCGTAGTTGTTGATTGGCAGTCAGAGATACTCTCCAGAGGGTCTTTCTAAAAAGGTCCTCAATAGACACCGGGCGTTTTCATCTTGGGTAGGCATATCACTTTAAATCTCCATTCAAGGATCTTGGTGGGGAACTCCAAAATGATACAGGAAAATAAAAACTCCCAACCTGAACAATATCTGGTGCAAGTTCGTATTCTCTAAAATCAGAGAATGAATTTTAGAAACAACGGAGGTTAAGAGCAGAATATATTTATTCTTTTTTTTTTTTTTTTTTTTTTTGTACCAGGAATCGAACTCAGGACATTGCGCTTGCTAGACAAGCGCTTATGTCACTGAGCTATATTCCCAGCCCCCAGAATATATTTATTGAGGGAAAGAAAGCTTCTGTCCAAGAGAGGGACAGAAGGGGGGCAAGAGTGGGTTGCTATCCTTTTAGCACTGACCCTTCTGAGGCACCCACACACTGCCATCTCCTGCCAGGTGAGCAGTGGGAAGAGGAAGCTTTGGATGAGTTTGACAGACTTACCTACTGTGCTGACTGGAAGCCACTGGTGGCCAAGATCTCTAGCTATGTCCAGACTGGGATCTCAACTTGGCCGAAGGTTTATTTATATGATACCAGCAGTGGAAAGGTAAGAATGGCGTTCACTCAGGCTCACTGTGTCTTCTGTATTTTCATAACATCGCTTACGTTTCTGTCCCAGAAACCCTTACCTGATACTCCCAGTGCTTTGGAAGATCCTGCTCACCATTCCGTCAAAGGCCTAGCTTTTCCGTCCCGTTTCCTCAGATTCGCCCCTCCTTGCGGAAAGAACATCATTCCCTTTTTATTCTTCTCAGAAACTGGATATTGGGCTGGAATTAGTTCGAAAAGGATATGCAGTTGAGCTTCCTGAAGACACGGAAGAAAACGGAACTGTCCCAGACATGTTGAAGGACATGGTGAGCCACTGTAGTCATGATGGGGCTTCTTCCCAGGGCTGTGGTGTGAGAGACCCAGTGGGGGCTTCTGGTCAGGACATTTTGTTAACTCCGGTGGCTTGAAGCCTGTGCCTCTCTGGAAACCATTTTCTCTTGCTTTCACGTCTTCAGGCCACAGAAACAGACGCTTCTCTTGCTAGTATGCTCACAGAGCCCAAAAGGAGCCCCGGAGAGATAACACATACCCTGTCCTGCCTCAGCTTGTCAGGTACCAACTGCTGCCTGCCTACAGCATCTTTGGAGGTTAACTTTTCTCGGTCAGCATCTTCAGAGGGGGGTTTAAGTTAAAGCTCAGTTCTTAGGTCATTAAGCCCCAAGAGCCCATTTCCCCTCCTGGACCCCACAGTCAGTGTCTGCTGGAATAGGGCAGTATCTAACTTTCTTCTCACTTCTCAATAGAAGCTGCCTCTGTGTCTGGTGATGAGAACCTTGAAGATGACTACATACTCTGAAGTCTCGGCTTCAGCTGGCTCAGCCACCTGCTTTGCTGTGAGTGGAGCTGGTTGTCTGTAGCAACAGGAACGTAATGAGGGTGACAGCAGGGGCCTCGCTTTGATTCCTTCTCTGTGCGTCCTATCTTCATATCTTCCTCTGCAGCAGCTTTCCTGCAGCCTAACTTGCTCTCAGGTTGAGCCCTCTCAATCTTTTTGTCTCTGTTTGTATCTTTGGCAGGATTTGGCACAGGCTTTGGTTCCTGGAGAGAAGTCGATAAAGAAATACATGCAGTCCTTCCCTTATTACACACAGTCTGGCTTGCTGTGGACCAAATCCATGTTCATCTTCTGTCGGACTAGAGGGAGTGGACCGAAGGAAGACAAACACATGTCCTGATGTCACCCTGGCCCCACCTGTGTCTTCAGTGTTTAATGCTGTTGTTATTCCAGCTCCTCAGGCTTGGTCCCCTCCGCCAGTCATAATGCAGATTGCTGCCAGGCCGTGTCCTTTTTGAGGCTGGGAAGTAGCCAGGGTTTGGTCATTGGGAGCAGTGATGATTCTGCAGATTTGTGACTCACCTCATCAGGTGACTCTTGTCAAGGGAGGTTTCAGAGTCCCGCACTCAAAGGCTCAAGCTGAGTCACAAGACAAAGGCAGAAATGAGCACAGATATAGTGAGCCTTGAGATAGGAGGAGAATGCCACCTTCCATCTTCAATTGTGATATGTTATTGGAGACAGGTTTTTGAAACAGTGCTCCAGCTACTTCTTGTGAACTTTAGTTAAAAGGAGCACAGTGGCTCAGAAAATACTCTAAATTGCTAGTATAGTAGCTGTATGTGTACAAATACACGGAAAGAGAGCATACACCACTCAGTTTAAATCATTTGAGGGATTCTTTGCTAAATAAAGTTCTCAGAATTACCTAAAAACAAATGTTCATTGAATCATGTGAATAAAGCATCTTCTAAGCCTAAATCTGGGGAGACGCCGCCTCACAAAAAGGGACTCATCCGTGCACAGAGCTCCTCCATACACACCTGTGCTATCTCCCTAAAGTCGTTCTGGGTCAGGCTGTGTCAATAAGCCTCAAATTGTTTGGTCTTTGGGTGAAGGGAGGGAGCCCTGTCTGGATTAGCATTCTAGAAAACTCGGTTCTGGGAGTGAGTCTGCACTGCAACCTTTCTGTGAGATTTTGTGGAGCCTGTTTCCTTACAGGATCTTTCCATCTCTGACAGTATTAAGAGGCCCCCGTGAGAACTGGGAAGGTACATAAATGTAGAATAACGTGGTAGAAGAATGGGAAATGAACTTTTATTTTTGTTTTTTGCTTGTTTGATTTTTTTTTTTTTTTTTTTTTGGTACGGGGAATCAAACTCAGGACCTTGCACTTGCCAGGCAGGCGCTTGTGCCACTGAGCTATATCCCCAGCCCAAGGCAAATGAACTTTTAAAGCTAAACTGGAAAATTTAAAATAGCATACGAAGGTGCCTTCTATCAGACCTTTTCCTAAGTGTAGGAATAGCAAAGTCTGCCTGCATACTACATGGCAATCATATTTTCCCAGCACCGGTTTGCAAATTTTTCTCAAAAGTCTCAGACATTAGCTTAAAGGATCTCAAGCAGCAACAGCGCTGAGTAGCTCTTGTAGTTTTGGAAGCAGCCAGACGTCTTAGGGGCTGGTGCAGTGAGCTCCCTGAGGCTCGCTCAGCCCTGGAGTCAGAGCTGCCATTGGACAGGATCGGGAGACCTCAGTTCCTCCTGGCCTTATTCTCAAGGATACCAGTGTCCTGATAAAAAGTATGCATCAGACTTCTGCTCTAGAAAGTATCTCTTACGTGCGGTTTGTTATCATGCATAATTTTTTTTTTCTTTTTGAGCCGGTTTCACTGTGCAGTTCAGGCTGGTCTTGAACTCACAACGATCCTTTTACCTCAGGCTCCTGAGTGCTGGGATTACAGGTGTATGCCCGCACACCTGGCAAAAAAAATTTTTTTAAAAAACAAAAGAGCTGGGGAGATGGCTCAGTGGCACAAGCGCCTACATGGCAAACGCAGGTCCTGAGTTGGATTCCTGGTACCACAAAAAATGAAAAGCAGATATTTAAGTTTTTTTTTTTTATTATTTTAAAGAATAAAAGAAGGATTACATAATAATAGGGGGGCTTACCAAATTACAGACAAAGTGGTAGGAAATTATCAATGGTTATTGTTTTACATATTGTCATCTACAAGATAGTTTCTCAGGAAAACAAATAGGCAAATAATAGTTACAGACAAAAGAGGTAGATTATCAATAGTTGTACTATACTTTGGTATCTTCAAAATGGCTTCTAAAGAAAATAAATTGAGCTATACATGAGTGACCTATTGAATAATCATTAACTATTCTCAATGGTTGTTGTAGGAAACATAATAATAGACATGCATCCATTTACAAAATAGGATAGGAACAATACAAACTATAGAGTTACGGATAGATTAGTAGGAAAATATCAATGGCTGCTGTAATACATGGTGCTATCTTCAAAGTGGCATCTCAAGACAGAGATACGCAAGAAGGATCTAACAAGTAGTTATAGCCTAAGGGTTGTCAAAAATAGCATATTACCTCCTCACCAGTGACTCCTGTCACTGAGGTGTGACGGCTGGAAGGGAGGCCAGGATTGAAAAGAAGGACCGAGAGACTTGCACCTGTGTCTAGCAACAGGCTGTTTCCTTGTTCCTCCATAGGCATGATTACCCAGGGCTCCTCCATGGGTATGACAGTCTGGCCAGAGGGAGAAGGCAGAGTATGCCCCAGGCCCTCTCATTGCTGTTGGACTAACTGGTAGAATGGGTCTGAGCTCTGGGGCCTCCTCTTCAGAGGGCAGACCCATCTCTACTGGTCACCTTCGCATTCAGGGAATGGCCCATGGGGCCTCTTAGGGCAGTTCCTCTTGAGGTGGCCTGGCTTTTAACAGTGGTAGCAGATGAATGCAGACATCAAGTTCTTCTTGGGGCCCTGGGAATCAGACTTGGGATCTGTTTCTCCTAGTGCTGCCGCAAAAGCAGCTGCTCTTTCTCAGTCTCTTTGTTTTCTCTCCTTGGCCGCCTCCTCATCATGGCTATAGAATACTGAGGAGGCAATTCTTACTAACATCTCAAGTGAGTCATCTGGGGTGAAAGCCATTCTTTGTAGCATTTTCTCTCCAGCCTCCCATCGCATTGGGACCCCACAACCAATTAGTGTCCTCTCCCCAACTGTCAGCACAGGCAGCAGGAGTCTTGCTGCAGACCTCTCCGGAGCTCCACCACAGCCTGTACTGTGAGGGGAAGAATGGCTTCCCAGGTATTGTGCAAGGTCCTCCTGGTTTACAGCTTCCAAACGGCTCTCATGACTCCTATCCACAGGACTTCTGACTCCTCCGGCTTAGTCTGCATTCTCATGTTTTCTGAGTGCTTGTTCAGCAGCTGCTCCTCTGCTGACTCTGGACTTTTCTGGTTCTCGATAGCAGGAGCAAGAGTGACCCCTTGTATGGCATGTATTCCCAGGGGTTTCTCCATGTTTGAATGATTCATACATGTCCGTGGGTGGGCATCTGCAGCCAGTGCATGGTGGGCCAATTGTGTCATTGTTTCTCTGTGTCATCGTAGTTCTCAATTGAGCAGCAGCAGCCGGCCTGAGGGCCGGCGCACAACAGCGCTGCCTGCTGCGTGGCTTCCCGTGCACCAGGAGCCCTCCTTCCGGGTCCCTACAAGGCAGGCAGCCAGCCCGAGGACCGGCGCTCCCCGCCACATGGCTTCCCTTGGGCCGGGGGCCCGCCTTCCCAGTGCCTACGAGGCAGGGAGCCGGCCCCACAAATATTTAAGTTATTGGGCTGAAGATATACCTCAGTGGCATAAGTGCCTGCCTGGCAAGTGCAAGGTCCTGAGTTCAATTCCTGGCACCAAAAAAGTAAATGTTATTAAATCACAGTTTATCCAGATGAACATACAAGGGGTACAAATACAACACAGACATTAAAATTTTAAAAAAATACAACACAGACAAAATACCACAAAAATCTCTTTTTTTAATGCTGCTTTTACATCTTGCCATTTACATTCCACCCTCAGGTACCGTGTCACTCCAGTGTAACCCCAGTGCTTGCTGTGTGCAATTCCTCTTCTATGCTGCTACTCACATTATCTCTTGAGATCGCTTGAGCCAAAGCCAAGGGATCCTCATATGAAATGTGATCAAAAAAATGTAGTGAATATTTTAAAAACCTTTTTAATTTATTACAGTAAAAGACCCTGCCTTTAATCCCCATCAGAATACTCCCTCCCTTTCAAACACTTACCCTATTGTTGCTGCCACTTTCTTAAGCAGTTCTGGGAGTCCTCCTGGATAGTCTTCTAGTTGCCTGTCATGGCTGCCTCCCTACCTGATTCAAAACATTTACTTTGCCGGGCATGGTGGCGCATGCCTGTAATCCCAGCACTCAGGCTGAGGCAGGAGGATCATTGGGAGTTCGAGACCAGCCTGGGCTACCAAGTGAGCTCAAGGCCAGCCTGAACTGCATAGTGAGACCTTATCTCAAAAAAAAATTTTTTTTACGTGGTCACTTTGACTTTGGGGAAGAAGCCAGAAGTTGCACAGTGCCAGATCCAGTGAATAAGGTGGGTGAGGATGCACTACAAGGTTTTTATTTGACATGATCATAAGGTACAGTGAACATGTAATTCCACTAAGACATTGCCATTAATCCTCTTCCAAATATGCCTTGCTTCGAACATATCCCATTGCTCTTCGCAATGTATCTTTAATAAAGTTTATGTAAACATTCACTTTTATCCTTGGATGATGACTCGTATCTTTTCTGATTTTCTCCATATCCAAAGAAAAGAATGGGTGCTTATCTCCAATTTGAACTGAATTATGTGGATGAAAGCATCCTAACTAGGCTTAGTTCTAAACTACCTAGTTGATTGGTCCTTACCTTGGCAGGTACTCAATAAATAGTTAAAATAAATGGGGAAATGGTTTTGGGGTCAGGAAAGCAGACCTGAAAACCCCATTGTCCTCGAGTGAACTTGGCTCTAACGGTCATACCCCTCTGGGCAGTTCTGCCCCCCCTCACACCCCAAGAAACAGTGAACACTTGGTGATTGCACTATCCTTTTATTCCTAGGATGATGAGGTCCTAAATTACATCCTAGGCCCTTGAGTTCTGTGTGTCACAGCTCCAGCTCCTCACAGAGTTGGAATAAGCATGTTTAGGGAGGCTCAGTGGGCCAGTGGCCATGGTTCCTTTCAAGGGGATATACCATGAAGATGACATTTTCCCAGAGAGGAAGGCCAGGGTGATCTGGTCTGACCACATCAAAGCCCATGTAGCTGAAGGCCCGCAGCAGGTCACCTGTGAAAGAACAGAACAAACAACACTCTTAGAAGCTTGACCCATGTTCCCTAGAGATGTGGTCTTTGCTGGGGTATGGCCTCTGGGGAAGCAGTGTAGTGCAGCCAGTAGGATGTGCTTTGGGGTGAAATGGACCCAAGGCTCTGACCCTGGCTTTAACACTTCCTTACCCTGGGACATTCTTGGTTAATCCTTTGATCTTTAGTTTTCTCCTGTGTGACGTGAGAATCAGAGCATCTTCCTCACAGATTTTAAGGTGGTATTTATGGGTTTTGGGGGGGTTTTTGTTCTTTTTCCAGTACCAGGAATCAAACTCATGACCTTGCACTTGCCAGGTGGGTGCTGTGCCACTGAGCTAAATCCCCAGCCCAAGGTTGTATTTATGAAGTGGTCAACAAAGTGATGGTATAGTCAACTCTGAACTGGTGTCTACTATCAATACCACATTGACCATTGTGCTACATCCAGCTAAGTAAACTTCTACTCTAGAACCTGGAGTGTTGAGGTTGTAGTTCCCATAGCATATGCTCTGGGAATCTGGTTAAATCTGTTCCTGGCCTCATGCCCAACCCTGTCACACCAAAGGTGCTTGATGCATTTGATAGCCTTTCTGTCAGGCTGGCCATCGTATTCTTCGAATTGGATTCTGTGTAATTTCACCAATGCTCCCTCAGTTTGACCTCTGACGTTTCTAGTAGGGCTTCCTGATAGGTTGTAACCTTGGGCTGGGGATTTAGCTCAGTGGCACAGCACCTGCCTAGCAAGTGTGAGGTCATGAGTTCAACTCCCGGTCGAACAAAAACAAGCAAACAAAACAAAAACAAGCAAACAAAACAAACAAACAAAAAAACCCATGAGTCTTGGGGCTGGGGATTTAGCTCAGTGGCACAGCGCCTGCCTGGCAAGCGCAAGGTCATGAGTTCAATTCCTGATACTGGAAAAAAAAAACCAACAACAAAAAGACAAAAACAAAACAAAACAACACTCTCCAAGCTGTAACCTGAATGTCCAGCTGTAACAGGGGCCATTATTTCTTTTTGTGGTGGGAGAAAAACTGCCAAAATGCTGGAGGGGGGCTTCTATGAAGGAAAAGGAGCTGTTAGCTGCCTCAGTACAGAAGGCAGTCAGGACAGCAGATCCCCACCTTTGTCCTTCCGGTCGTTTTGGAAGGTCACAAACACGGAATCCACATTGGTCTTCTCCTCCACATACTCCAGTGTTGCTGTCAAACTAGGATACAGAGAGATGTTTAGCTACAGCAGAATCTAAAAAATACCTAATTGAAGCAAAAGATCTCTTACTGGTCACTTACTTCCCACCCACCTTTGCCAGGAAATGGAAGTTGCTAAATTAGTTGTGATAGCTTTTATCAGAAGTCAAGGGACTGCACACAACTGGACCGAGGTGTAGGCCACAGAAGGTCCAGGAGGGGGCTCTTACGTGGCTGGAAACTACTTCTGGTTAGTCGACCTCTGGGTTCTCACTTGTGTTTCTCAATCTGAGTCCAGCAGCTTCCTACTGACTGTTACCCCTGAACCCCAGCTGGCATGGCTCAGGCTGGTCTCCGTGCCACCCGGGTGGTTTGTGTGTATGCAGCCCCACTTACTGTGACACGACAGAAGGTAAAGTTCCCTCCCCGCTAACCCATTCCAACTCTGTCACCTTTCTCGGCTGCCTTGGTTCAAGGCCCGGTATGGGATATCCAGGAAGAGTCGGTGGTCACACAGAAGGCCGTGCCAATGGACAGAGGTGTTGGGGGTGAGACGGAAGTGGAAGTCTATTTGTACTGGATCCTGGTGGAGCAGGGGGTTGGTAGAAAGCACTGTCAGGTTCCCAGCCTGCAAAAAAGAAATAAAAGTGAAAGCAATAGTCCGCTTCTGTGCTCATTCAGTCCTCCAGTCAGCTGTCAGGCACACTTGGGCACATCTGTGGAAGAAGGGAGTGGGTAGATGCAGGAGCCTGGGAGAAGTGGAGCCAAAGTCTCCTTTAATCCTAGGAAGTAACAGCTACCCATTACCCAGTTCTACTTGATATCAAACCTGGAATGCGGACTTCACTGCCGGCTAAGCTAACCCCGGGCTGCACTAACTGTTTAGGATGGTAATGTTTGGCTTTTGCTGTGCTGAGGCTGGAACCCATAGTACTCTACCCAGCATACACCTCCTGCCCTCCCCACTTTATTTATTTTTTAATTTTTTTTTTTGTCTTTTTGAGACAGGGTCTAACTATGCAGTTCAGGCTGGACTTGAGCTCACTTTGTAGCCCAGGTTGGCCTCGAACTCACAACAATCTTCCTGCCTCAGCCTCCCGAGTGCTGGGATTACAGGTGTGCGCCACCACACCCAGCCCTCCCCCTTTTAAAATGTTAAGTTTTGAGGCAGTGTCTCACAGAGTTGCCCAGGCAGAACTTGAACTTGGAATTCCAGGCCTCAGTCTCCCCTAGTGCTGGTATTACAGGCATGTGTCCCCACACTTAGCCAGAATATTACTGTTTACATCAGACAGCGGATTGTCTGTGTCTTGTTCTGAGACAGTCTTGCTATGTTGTCCAGGCTGGCCTCAAACTCCTGGGCTCAAACTTTTCTCTTGTCTCAGAGGCCTTTCACATAGCTGAGACTACAGACATCCCACCACATCCGGCTAGCTCACTGCTTACAGCTTTACTATCCATTTCCTTTCTCGTGCTACTCTTCTGCCTTTTTTCATCATATGGGTTTTCTCCAAATTCTCCCCTTTCTCATTACACAAGGGCAAGTGCAGGAATTCTGGATTCTAGACCCAGGTATACGTCCCGGAAGTCTGCTCTACCTTTGTTCCTACTTTCTGTTCTCCTACCCTGTTTTTCACTAGCAACTGTATCACCTAGACTTAAGATCTCTGGCTAGAACCCTTGCCTATAAAGTAACTAGGCAACTTTTGCACATAAGCTCTAGCTCTGATTTTGATTCATTTTCCAAGTAGGCAGAGGCCCTCCTGTGCAAGGTATCATTTCAGCAAGCTCATAGTCCACTTACTGAGTATAGTACTTGAAGCTGGTCTTGGTCTTTTCCCTGCTCAGTGCTTCTGCCCGCCTGGAGCCCCGCTGGGGACTCAGGAGCACTGGAGACAGCAGCGTGGCCGGAGTGTCAGGTCCTCCTCTTCCTTATAAGTAATGCTGGTTGGAAAAGAGAGACCCAAATTTACCTTGGAATCTGAGAGAGGAAAGGCTGCTAACTTCTTGGCTCTCAGGCATCCTATGGCTCTGCCTTATGTACTGTCTGTGGACCAGCACATTTCCGTTCTCCCAGGTCAGCAAAATGGAAACATTTCAAGTTTCACGCCAGCCTTCTATTCTATTTTGCTATTACTTTCTGCTGCTTGGGAAGATTTCAAATTTTTGTTTTTCCTTACAGTTTATATAAACTACAAATAGAGATGAAAACGAGTACCTTTTATAACAACAAGGCAGCATCTTCTCCCGGAGGGTGATCCGGTATTTGTAACAGTAAAGATAATAGGCGTATGGTGACCAGATTGGGTAGAGGTAGTTCCGTGTTTTTCCCCTCTTGATATAAGAAAGGGAGTAGAGAGAGGGGCGGGACCTGTTACAAGGCAGTTTCTCTGTTCAGTGCCTCCCAGCGGCAAAGTGAGGGTCAGGGATGGGTGGCAAAGGTTCAGGCAACCCTGTCCATTGTGATGTGGTGGACTCTATGACATAGACAATAGGTCAGCCCTGTGTCACTTCAGGACTCAACTCTGCTGCTCTCCTGCCTCACCCTATCCCTTAACCAGGCTCATAGTCAACTAGGATGCACTTTACAACTACAGCAATGGTTAAACTACTCTACAACTTCTCTGATTGGCAAACAGCCCCGTCTAAGCACTTGCGCCCACCTCCTCTGTCCTTTCCTCTGGGACATTCCTTTTTCCAAAATCCAGCAGCTAATGGGTTGGTGTCTGACACTTCAGGAGGCTTCCCAGGCCTTGATCTTACACTGAGCTGGTTAGTTGGTTCCCAATTCAGTGTTCACTGTGCCCTTGACTCAAAGGTGGCGCAGATTATCGAACTTCCCCTATTGCCAGGTAGGGAGGAAGCCCTAAACACCTCTGGAGGCCTAAACAGCTAATGGGAACTGGTGGAGCTGCAGAGTGGGGCTACAGTGAAATGGGAAGCTGATACCCTGTCTAAAATGCAGCGGAACTCAGCTCTGTCTGGTTGCCATGCTGGAATATGGACAGTAGTGTCAGATCTTATAATTTTTCAACAGAAACTAGAAAGAACTTGTGGTGAATTTCCCAGATGGAGACCACTACAGAGGGGCTCTGAGCAGGATTGAACATTAACCAATTGGATTTTCATGTTTATTTGTGAGTCCATCCAAGGCCTAGGCCCCTTGTCTGGAGACGAGCAGCAGATTCCTAGTAAGTGAAACTTTGTGAATCACTAGTCCCGACTGAGGAGTGTAAGGGTGGGTAAAGCCGGAACACCTCAAAGGACAAGAGAGGCCACAGCTAAGGACCCCTGGCTCCAACAACTACCTAGATAAAGACTGTAGCTGCAGGCATCTCAGTCCTGGGTGGAGACCTTCCTGAAGATAACATAGTTCTCCTAAATTAATGTAATGTATTACTTGGAGAAGCCCTTGAGTGGACCTCCAAGGTCCTTGAATCACAAGGCCATTCAAGGCAGATTCCTGTCTTTCTTCAGTATTTTTTTTGTTTTCTGTTTTTTTTCTGTTTTCTGTTTTGTCTTGTCTTTTTGAGATAGGGTCTCCCTATGCAGTTCAGGCTGACCTTGAGCTCACTTTACAGCCCAGGCAGACCTCAAACTTGCAATGATCCTCCTGCCTCAGCCTCCCCAGTGCTGGGATTACAGGTATATGCCACCACACCTGGCCCCATGTTGGTTCTGATAACTAAATAAATGCAGGCTACCCAGAGAAGATCTTTGTCTTAGCCTGGAAAGAATCTCAAATTCTGTGAGAGGGTTTTGATCTGCCTGGAGCTCTGAAATCATTCCATTTGTCTCTTTTATTTAGCTTTCACCATCCACTTGTTTGGGAGACTGTGGACCTGATCAGTCTCCAATAAGTAAGGGATAATATTAGCATGATATTTCCTCAATATTTATTTATTTATTTATCTATCTATCTATCTATCTATCTATCTTTTTGAGACAGGGTCTTACTATGCCATTCAGGCTGGCCTTGAGCTCACTTTGCAGCCCAGGCTGGCCTCAAACTCCCAACAATCCTCCTGCCTCAGCCTCCCAAGTAGTGGGATTACAGGCCTGAGCCAGCATGCCCGACTCCAATATTTAAATATTAGCTACTAACAAAAACAGATGAGAACATTAACTGTCATTCTATTCAGGGTGTCAGGTCCCCAGAACGAGGTACCCATGGATGAATATAAAAGTAAGAAAAAAAGAAAACCAAGAAAGGCAAAATTCTGGGATCAGGGGGCTTACAGCCTCTCAGACTGCAGCCCCGATTACCAATTTCAGTAACTCTTTATTCAGAAAGAACAAAAGAAGCAGCATTGCAAATGGGAGGATCTCAACCAATTTAGCAAGGACAATAAATAAGACTTGACTAATTAGCCATCATGTTATCATTCCTTAGGGTATATCTCAGCAAAGCATTTAGTGTTGACCCAGGGGCTTTCAATACTTCTGCTAAACCTCCTCCAGAACTCAACAATCATGGCTTGGTCAGGCCTGAGGCAATACACAAAAGAGTAACTAAAGAACACCTATCTCCACAATTAACCTTTTGAGCAAAATTTGATTCTGTGGCCACCAGTTTGAGGTCTTTACATATTCATTTGTCTCTTCAATAAATCCTGAGGGTCTACTATGACCAGGTGCTATATCCTAGGTACTTGGGATACATCAGTGGATAAAATAAAGATCTATGCCCTGTAGAACTTCTCTTCTGGAACTAAGAGGACAAACCTAGAAAGCAGTGTTAGTGGATAGGCGTTGTGGGCTGAGGAGAGCGCAGACACAGAGAAGGAGTTGGAGTGCGAAGGCGTGGTGCAGGGATGTAGTAACAAGATGTTCACAGTGCATCGCACGGGAAAGGTGAAGTTAAATCAGAGACTGGGGAGGTAAGCCAACATCTGGGGATAAGAGCATTCCACCCAGAAGCAACAGCCCACACACATGTTCCCAGTAAGAAATATGCCTAGGGTTTTCAAGAAACAGCAAGGAAGCCACTGCAGGTGGGGCAATGTAAGCTATAGGGAAAGAGAGCTGATGGGGCCAGCATGTAGGGCCTTGTAGACCTTCATATGACCTTTTATTCTGAGTAAAGGGGAAGTCACTGCAAAGTTTTGGGTGGAAGAATGACATAATCTGACCTGGGCCTTTTAAAAGTATCCTTCTAACCAGGTGTGGTGGTACTTGCCTGTAATCCCAGCACTCAGGAGTTTGAGGCAGGAGGATCACAACCAGTTTGAGGCCAACCTGGGCTACATAGTGAATTCAAGCCTAGCTTAAACTACATAGCAAAATCCTGTCTTAAACAATAAATACATAAAATTAAAATATCCTTCTGATTGATATAAGTGGTAGAGATCTATTGGAAGACTACTGCAGTAATCCATAAAAATTTTTTTCAGGGTGCAGCATTGCAGGTGGTAGCAAGTGGTTGGATTCTGGAACGAGTTTAAAAGCAGACCCCCACAGGATTTCCTGATGGACTATGAGATCAAGGATTTAAGGTAAATCCAAGACTTGAAAGAATAGGTTTCCATTAACTGAAATGGGAAAGGCTGTTGGTGGGGCAGTTGACGGGAGGGGGATCAGAAATCACTTTAATTTGGGATATGGTAACTTTGAGATGTCTGTTAGACATATACGGGGGAAAGGATGGAGAAGTAGTTACATATCCTAGTGTGGAGTTTGTGAGAAGTCCAGGATGGAGATACAAATTTGGAAATTATTGGTATATGAGGTTGAACCTCCTTGGGTCGAGGGACCAGGGCCCATGGTAAGCGGCGACGGTGAAGAAAGAGGACACCGGAGACCAGGCTGGTAGCGCAGGTCTACTTTATTGCGGAAGTATTAGGCATTTATAGGGCAGGCTAGAGGCGTGGCAATGGAGGCAGGTTGGGGTGTAGTTTGGAGGCGGTACTTTTGGCTGGGGGCTGTGTGGAAGCAAGAGGTCAGAGTGGGACAACTTAGGCGGAGCGTTTACTCGGTTTGCCTAGGAGTCTGAGTTTGCTCAGACTCGCTTTTCCGCCACGGCCGTCAACCAGACCTCTGGACCTCTTTTTCCCACAGGTGTATAAATAGCATTGCAAGCCACGACTGGATGAGGAGAGTGTACACAGAGAAGAGTAAAAGTCAAAGACTGAGTGAGTCCTGGGGACACTTGAAAAAGTGAAAAGACAGATCATCAAAGGAGACTGTGAAAAAGAATAGCGTCCTGGAAGCCAAGACAATATTTAGAGGGACAGTGTGTTGGTCCCTTAGGTTGAAGCATAAAGCATCTTTCTGGTCTTCTGTGTCAAATAGATTTTCATACCGGTTTGTGTTTGTTTTATTTTATTAATACATATGTTTACATTCCTTGTGGAAATTGGTGCATGCCTGAAGTTTCCGGCCCTAGCATGGTTCCATTTTTCTGTGGCTTAGATTCTTTGTAACTCAGAATGCTTCAAGTATTGCAGGGTAACGACTAAGGGTTAGACTTTTCTTGGGGTTGGCGGTTTTCCAGAGGATCCCATCCTTCTACCACTTTTAGGTAGATTTGTTTTTGTTGTTGTGTTGCCTTTTTGAGATAGGGTCTCACTATGCAGTTCAGGCTGGCCTTGAGCTCACTTTGTAGTCCAGGCTGGTCCTGCCTCAGCCTCCCGAGTGCTGGGATTACAGGCATGCGCCACCACGCCCGGCACTTTTAGGTAGACTTGAAAAGCGAGAGCAGCATCTTTCTTCCGTCAATGTCCAGTCATAGAATCTCAGAATTAGATGTGGCCTCAGCACCTAGAGCCTGAAAACAAAGTCCCACTTTAAAGATATAGTGAAACCAACAGTCCTCTCCAGTCAGTCCACCTATTGCTCGTTCCATTGTCTATCAATAATTATGGGCACCCACCACAACCACACCCCAAAAAGAGAGGAGAAAAATGCTTAATCAAGGAATATTTCCTCCCGATTTTCTGGTACTGGGAATTGAACTCAGCACCTTGTACTTGCCAAGCAGGCATGTACACCACTGAGCTACATCCCCAGCCCCCTTCCGATTTTTTAAGGGCGTTGGAGAAGTAGCGAAGGGGCGGGCCAGCCAGCCGGTCCTCCGTCTCCCCTCGGCTCCAGCCCAGAGAAAGCCGCGCCGGCTCAGGCGCGCCGCGGGCAGCCCCGGCGGGTCCTTTCCTGCCTCTCGGCGCCGGGGTCCTTCCTCAGGTCGCCCTCTGTCCTGGCATCATGGCGGCGGCCTTCTTTGTTTCCCCCGGCAGGACTCTGCTGCGGCGCGGCGCCGAGCGGGCGCTGCGAGGAGGAGCCTGGGAGCTGCTCGGGCCGAGACTCGAAAGGGGCCTGGAGCGCGGCTTCAGCCTTTCCCACCCTCGGGTGAGAGCCAGGTTTGGGTTATGGGCTCCTTGGCTCCGGCGACGCAGTTCACGCTGAAGTTCTGAGCTGTGGAGGGGCCTGGCCTTGGGTTGCGGCCCTGCCTTGGGGTGCCCGCGGGCATGGCGGGAGGAGAGTGCGCGGCTCCTCACCTTGGCCTCCCCGATGCAGGGCACAGTCATCGTAGAGCGCTGGTGGAAGGTGCCGCTGGCCGGGGAGGGCCGGGCGCCGCGCCTGCACCGGCGACACCGGGTCTACAAGCTGGTGGAGGACACGAAACGCCGGCCCAAGGAAAACCTGGAGCTCATCCTCACGCAGTCCGTGGAGGGTAAGGCCCGGCCGGAGGCGCGTCAGCTCAGGCCGCTCCTGTTCGGGGTCAGCTTTTTCCTTCCCGGTGCCCCCACCGGTGTGCCCTTGCTTTGTCTACTTTGTGGCGATGGTGAGTTCTATGTGAAAAGAGGGCCATGAACAGTACTGTCATGGTGACATTGGCTTCCTGCTTGGAGAAATAAAACGTGAATGCTGCAACACGATTTTAACTGGAGGTAGGGGTCTGACAATTTGTGTCACAGATAGTGCGTGAAATCCTCTGATGGGACAACTTCTTGCTCCGTACAGGGAATACTGCGTGTCTTTAGCAGGTGCTAAAGAACCCAATTAGCAGTGTTCCACGGTGTTGCACTTAGTGAATAGGAATTAAAATCCTAGAAAGAATAAACACTGGGAAAATAAGTGGTGTTTATCTCTTTGTTCATCTCTCCCTCCACAGTTGATGGTGCTAGGGATCAAACTCAGGGTCTCTGTGTCTCTGTTGTTCTCATTGGCAGAACTTGGAGTCCGGGGTGACCTGGTCTCGGTGACGAAATCTGTGGGTCGTAACAAACTCCTTCCTCAGGGACTGGCTGTATACGCATCCCCCGAAAACAAGAAGCTGTTTGAAGAGGAGAAATTGGTAAGCTCAAAGGGAAGGTCTTGCAAGAATCAAACTTTAAGGCTTCTTCTAGCAATTTCCTTCACTTCGATATTTAATTTGAAAATGAAAGAGAGACTTGAATACCAGAAACCAAAAATCTCAGCATATACCTGCCACAGTAAGAGTTTGGTATTATTTAATGTGGGTTAGTTTTTCTTTTACTTATTTTCATCTTTAACTTTTTTCTAGCTGAGACAAGAAGGAAGATTGGCAAGGATACAGACCAGGGCAGGTGAGGCGGTAAGTAGAAACAGAACTTACCAACAGTAAACAAAGAGGCTGACCTGAGAGTCTCCCTGATTTCTTTAAAGTCTGCTAATTGCACACACAAGGGCAGGGGAAAGAAGTGTCGTGGCTGCCCTCCATAACTGGCATGCAGACTTCTTGGGAAATCCTGACCTTTTGGGTAAAGTGCTCTGGCTAATTGATGGAGTGCCCAGTCTGGGTATCAGGGGACCCATGAAAAAATGTGAGGGGAGGGCTCTGCTTCCAGGGGTATTTATAGACAAGCTGGGGACAGCATACACACATGAGCAGATAATCAGTGAACTGAAGGCAGTAAGTCGCAGGAGTTACGTGGACCATAATAGGTTTTGGGGTGGTTAGGAGGCGCTTTTCCAGTGGGATTAAATTAGGCCTTCTGCGGTTAGTAGGCTCTAAGTAAGTCAGGAGGATAGGAAAAATGTTCCTAAGGGAGAGTAAATATAAAAAGACATTTATGGTATGTTTAAACATAGAAAGTAGACAAAGTTAGCTAAAGCAGAGAATTGTATAGTACATTAGGAAACTTAAGGCTAAAAAGGTTATTAAACAAGATACGCAAAACATCTTGAATCTTTAAGTAATGAACATCATTCCATTTCTGTAATCAGGGAAAAGTCATTAATGTGATACAGGAGTGAAGGGCCAGAATTGGGTTAAAACAGTCGATGAAAGGTATTTCATTATGTCCTATAACTAAGGCCCCCCACTTTGTCTTTGCTTGGGAATAAGATGTAGGCGATATGCCGCTACAAAGGATTGCTAAAATCTTTCTACCATATCGACGTTGAGAGAGAATGTTCTGTTGTTCCCATTCATTCTTTCACCTGTCTGGGCTGTGAGACAGGAGTTAGACCCTTTGTAACTCTCAGTCCTTGGAATTCTGTTTCCTTTCCTTCAGCTCCAGCTAACCCAGCCCCTATTTATAATTCTTTCAGACAGTGAAGTTTCTGAGAAAGTGTCACCTGGAAGTAGGGATGAGGAACAATGTCAAATGGGAGTTAAACTCTGAAATAGTTGCTCGACACTTCTTCAAGAATGTGAGTGTTCTCAAAATATCACCATACTTGTGAGAGTGGACACTGTGCCTGGGAAGATGCCAAGGGTTGACCCCTTCGTTAGGAAGGGGGGTGATTAGCCAGATGGAGTTAGGGCAGGCATTCATGGTTAGGTTACAGAGATGTGGGAGGGAAAGAGCTGAGGACTGAGGGTAGTCACACGGTTTAAAGTGTGATGGGGAAAGGTGATAGTTTCCATTTATTTTCTCTAAGGAGAGCCAGGAGATAATGGGACCCACAGGGGAATTGTTACTTTTTCGGGTGAAGTGATTTTTGGTCTCAAGTCCCCTTTCTCTTTGTGAGTCTACTTCCCTTTCTGAGAAATTCAGGACTGAGTTTCTCTGCTCCCACCTGTGGAAGTCTACCTTCCCATGGGATCAGCAGAGTAAGCACTCCAGTTCATCCCTGTCCAGGAAATTATAGAACCCTCTTTATTTGCTTGCCCAGAGTGGCAGCCGTGAGAGTTCACCTGGCTGCTGTTTTGCAGCTTGGTGTTGTGGTTGCCCCGCATGCCCTGAAGTTACCAGAGGAGCCGATCACACGGTGGGGCGAGTACTGGTGTGAAGTGACGGTGAGTGTGTCACACTTGTTCCTTTTTCTGACTGGGAAAATGAGCATGGAGCATTGAGATTGAGGACATTAGCTAATACTTGTCTGACTGATCCCTAAGAATGTTTGTTTCGCGTTCAGGTAAATGGGCTTGACACTGTGAGAGTGCCTATGTCTGTGGTGAACTTCGAGAAGCCCAAGACCAAAAGATACAAGTACTGGTTAGCCAAGCAGGCTGCCAAGGGGATGGCCTCCACCAGCTCCCAGGCAGTCTGAACCTGTTCTCCCTCCAAGAGCAGAAAGCAGAAGCAGAGCAGCAGTGGAGCAAAAATGGGTCCACACCTGACCGCACTCATAGCTCTGAGCAGATGTGAAAGTTTGGAGAACAGATGAGACACCTGACTGAACCGCACGTACAGGTCAGAGTCTCCACATTCGCCAGCTCCATCTTCAGTCAACGTGTCCGGCTTTATTGGGTAATTGTGCTCAAGAAGAACCAGACTATCGATTTGATAAACTGTGTGTCACTGGATTCAAACGGTCTAGATGCCTCTAAGCCTCTTCCTGCATTGGAATCCACTGGAACGAGTGGATGAGACAGACACTGTGTCTAGGACGCGGCTCAGTCTCATCATCTGAACTCAGCATTTGTATTTTGAGCATTTTAACATGTGGTTTGTTTTTTTTTAAGGTGTCATTTACTGGGCTTGAGTAGACTGGAGAAAGGACATTAAAATGGGTATCTTCTCTATCCATTGAAGTTTGCTACTACGAGGGAACGGGAGAATATGTTAGCTTTGTATATCTCAGGGTTGCTGTGAGCAAATTACTCTCAGTAAGCTGGTTGTCGTTGGTCTTAAAACTTTCAGAGGGGCCGGGGATCTAGCTCAGTGGTACAAGTGCCTGCCTGGCAAGTACAAGGTCCTGAGTTTGATTCCTGGCACTGAAAAAAAAAACTTTCACTAGCTGTCAGCCATCGGTGTGAGCAAGCACAGTGAGTTCTCTAAGGATCTGACTAAGGCCCAAGGGTGAGCGATGGAAAAGCGAACCTGAGATGAAAGGTGTCTAAATGAGGGAGGCTGGGGGCTGGACGCAGTGGCAATGCCTGTAATCCCAGCTCTCCAGGAGGCCGAGGCTGGAGAATTGGAGTTTAAGGCAAGGTTAAAATATGGAGGTCGTTAGATCATTCTGGAATAAATGTCTTGCCGGTAGACGAGAAAAATAGATGTGCGTAAGCCCAAGGTCTGCTATAGAAAGGAACATTGATGTGTGTTGTGCCACAAATACAGCATGAGGTCATGCAGTATAGGGAGATGAGGATGAGACCCTTGGCTCCTTTGCTGTCCTTAACCAGAAGCTTAGAGAGACTGGTTTCTGCCTGCCTGAGCTCACTCACCCCTCGCTGAGCAAGCAAAGCACTCTCATTCCATCCCAGCTAAGGAGAGGCTGTGGTCAGTAGTTTCACTGGGAATAGTGATGACCCAGTCACACAGTTTCCAGAACTCATAGCTCCCATCTAGCATGGTACTATTTGAAATTTGCCATTTCAGTGATTCCTATCCTTGTCTTGAAATAGAAGGCTTTCCTTTTTTTTTTTTTTTTTTTTTTAGTTTTGGTTTTTTGAGATACAGTCTTGTTATGTAGTCCAGGCTGTCCTTAAGCTCATTATGTAACAGTGTAGCCTTGAACTGGCAATCCTCCTGCCTCAGCCTCCCAAGTGCTGGGATTGTAGGTGTGAACCACCACACCCGGCTTGGAAGGCTTTAACAGTATTTCCAATATTACCACTGTCACGATGCTTTGTGAAATAATGCGTTTCATACAGCTAACTTTAGTGTTGAAATACTTGTAGGTTCAGTTCTTAGCAGAAACAGAGATTGGTCCATTTGTCCATGGGAAGTTTATTTGAGGAAATACAGGATCTACACCTATAGTAGACAGGAGAGAGGAGGCTTACAGAGAAGCTGAGCTGATGCTATCTAAACAAAGCCACAGAGAGCTCAGACTAGGATGGCTCTGCAAGATGCCCCAGTAGGGCAGCTGAGGTAGACTGTGGCAGGGGCATGGCCTTGGGTGAGGGAGCTGGATTCAGTCAAAGGCAGCTCTTTTTTTTTTTTTTTTTTTTTTTTTTGGTTTTTCTCCAGTACCGGGAAGCGAACTCACGACCTTGCGCATGCCAGGCAGGCGCTTTTGCCGCTGAGCTAAATCCCCAGCCCCAAAGGCAGCTCTTGAACGGGGCTTAGGTAGGAGCTGGCGGCTGGCGGCTGGCGGCTGGCAGCGTTCTCAGCAGCTTGAAAATTAGTGCTTTGGTCCTGAAGCGTGGACTCTGAGCAGCCCGCCAGTCACTCACACAGTCCTCGCACTGCTCAGAACCATTCAGGATCCTGATGGCTCTCTTCCTAGGACATTTGTTAAAATCTGGGGCATACCTGGAATCCCAGCTGCTTAGGAGGCTGGAGCAGGAAAATCACAAATTTAAGTCCGGCCTGAGCAACATAGTGAGTCTCCCTCAGAAAGGGCTGGGGATGTAGCTCAGTGGTAGAGTACTTGCCTAGCATGCGTAAGGCCCTTGGTTCAATCCCCAGTACCAGGGGGAGAAAGTCGGACAGACCAGCCAATCCTTGCTGCAGCTTGTTTTGAGTCTACAGTGGTTTTCATCTCCTTTACTGTCTGTGGTAATGACTTCCTTCACTGCCACCTCAGATTTGCACTTCTGCTGGTCCAGGGCGAGTTACCTGATTAGGTACGTGACCATCCTGTCTTTTCAGGAAATGGCTGCAGTTGTCCATCTGTTTTGAAAGCTGGGGGAAGCCAGGTGTGGCAGTGCACGCCTGCAACCCCACTACTCAGAAGGCCAAGGCAGGAAGATTGGTGCACGTTCAAAACCAGCCTGAACTACATAGTGAGACCCTGTCTCAAAAGAAAAAGGGCAGGCCAGGCATGGTGGTGCACACCTGTAATTTCAGCACTTGGAAGGCTGAGGCAGGAGGATTGTTGGGAGTTTGAGGCCAGCCTGGGCTACAAAGTGAGCTCAAGGCCAACCTGAACTGCATAGTGAGACCCTGTCTCAAAAAGACAAAACAAAAAAGGCCAACCCTAACTGCACAGCAAGACCCTGTCTCAAAAAAAAAAAAATAAAGGCCTTTATTCTGGATGGTCATCTCTGTGGCTGGACTTAGGACCCATGTGGAGGACCCTTGGCTGAGCCTAACCTTATTCCCATGTATTGATATGCACAGAGCTGGCTAGGACCCTTTCCTTACCCCTTTAATTGGCTTTAAGCAATGCATATCGGTCTAACTCAGGTCCTCATGGTAATCTTTGGGGATGCCAGGTGTGTTTCCCTGACTCGCCTCCACGGTTCCCACAAGTGAGCCAGGATGAGGCGGGATGTGTGAGCCAATGCTTCACACTGTCCCCTGGGATCCAGCTTTGGGATAGAGGCTATGACTTCCTGGGGCTTCAAAGATTATGCATGAGAGCTGAAGCACCGACCCTGAAACATTAGATGCTATTTCAGATGTGTTATGCAGATTACTCTTTCTGCATAGCCTTCTGTCTGCATTGGCAGAGGTGATTTCAGGCCTCCTACCTAGCCCAGCTCATGGCGCTTACCTACTTCCCATGGTTCTCACAGTCACTCATCCTCAAGCCACTCCCTTCTTCATGAATGAATAAAACCTGGGTTTGGCCTTGGGTTAGGAGGCCTTTATTCCGGATGGTCATCACTGTGGCTGGGCTAGGACCCTTTGGCTCCCCATAACTACAAATGTGCCTTAATGTTTTTATTCTCGCCATGGGTTGTGCTGGAAGTGGTAGACTGGAATTAACTCGCTAGAATTCCAATAACTTTTCATGGGATTACAAATATAAACTTCCTGGGTCATGACGAGGACTGGGAAGGACTCTCTATAACTGGTGCCCAGGGATCTGCTGTAATCCCCAAGGTCAAACCATAATCAAAACCACTGGTCTTAAACTAAAAAATCAACTAGGTAAACAAAAGGGGGAGCACAGGATCAGAACTTTGCTACGGATGTTTTATCTTTTCTGAATCTTACTGGGAATGACCTCCAAACAGGTGCTTGGAATGGTCCGGCATCACTTTTAAATTGGGGCCAAGGATATGCTTGTATTTCCACAGAAAATTGAGGGACATTACAACCGTCAGAGCCATTCCATGGCCACAATCTAACCCACCTGCATAACACATCAAGCCCTCTACTGAGACCTCAGCAATGAACCTCACAGTAAAAATCTTTTCCTTGCAATACTTGCTCTCCTAGCAGCTACAGTTTGTATCCCTGTGGTTCAGGGAGAAGAGTATTGGGCTTACATACTTAATCCACCCTTGCTTAAACCCCTTATGTAGATGGGCAGGCCCCTAGAGATTTGCCATTCTATAGAGATCATTAACCCTGTATATATCTATCACCCTGCCTGGCCCACTAATTTTAATGCATTTACAAGAACGGACTAAACCTAATGGTACATCTTGTTTTGTGTTTCTATCTTTGTGTGTAGCCTGTCTACAGCAAAATTCTAGACATTGCCTGTTGATTGTGGATCAGACTTGGAAAGTACAACTGTCTAAAGGACAGTTTGCCTTATGAACCTTAAATTAGATTCCCTCAGATGGTAACCTTGTAAGAGATTTTAACCCTAACATTCCCATCTGTATTCCGGAAGCTCACACCCCTCATTTTGAAGAGGTGATTCTGGCCTTTGGTAGACTTGCTGGGATCCATACCGTGGACACAAGTTTAATTAGTCCTTTGTAGATTGGCCCCCTAGAGGATTCCTTCTGGGAAAGGATCAAGATGGGCATGAGATTTCCTTTTCAGGCTCTCCTGGCTATGTTATGTCCTCAGAGGCCTTGTCTAATGTTACATGGTCAGGTAGAGGCCTCAGTCCTCCAACCCTTAGACCCATTATTACTGACAAAACTGGGCCTATACAACGTATTTTATGGAAACTAGCCCTACCTTTTCATGCTGGATGGCTGCAGATTGGGCATCTGCAGCCGGTAGATGGAGGAAAAGTCAAAGTAGTATTACAAGGTCATAGATAGTAAACATATGTGTTTATGACACTCATGTACTGTTAATAGGGAAGATAGAGCGGCGACAAGGTATGTTCTCACGTACTGTTATTTAACCCATTGTATCATGCCTGAACATGCTTCTAATGACTGCAGTAGTGATCGTGGGCAGGATGTCTGGAGTTTGGCGTCCAGTTGATCTGATGGAGCCATGGTATCATTCATTTAGTTCTTTCTTGGTAAAGACCTTGATTAAAAGATTTATCAATCAGACCAAGAGGATGCTTGGATTAATTATAGCAGGGATAACCTCCCTAGGGCTTTTGATAGCCAGCGCAGCTATTGGCTCTGTGGCATTAGCTCACTAAGTACTAACTGCTCACTTTGTGGACAGTGGGACAAAAACTGCTGATGATAACTGGATAATTCAGCGAGAAATTAAAGTTGCAAACCCAAGTGAGCATTTCAGAAACCTCCATCCTTTGGATCAGGGATCAAATTGAAAGTTGGTAATTGCAACAAGGTTTAAAGTGTCACTATGATATGACTGGCTTTTTTATCACCCCATTACCATATAGCAAAAGTCTACAGCCTTGGGGAATGATCAGAAAACATACAAGGGGCAATCCATCAAAGTATTACTATGGATATAGATGCTCTTCAGAGAAAAGTGCTGTCAGTGTCTCTACAGGCAGGCACATTTGATACCCAAAT